TCCCAAAATCTTCCCAAAATCTGTGCAGCTGGTGCAGGCTCTGCTCCCAGCTCTGCCACTGCTGTGCTCTGTGAGTTTGGGTGACTCATTTCCTTTTGTGTTCCATGGCTCCCTCCTGCTCCTGTCTGTTTAGATTCCAGATTTTTTCCTCCCAGGAGCTGCCTGTGCTGTGTGGGACAGACACGAGTGTGCTGTGACCAAGAGAGAGCCTTGCACACATCAGTGAGGGACCAGAAAACACATTTAATGTGATTTTAGTTATTTTTTAGCAGCATTGAAATTGAAACTATCATCTGAAGTACTTAAAATTATTTTTTTTTTTTACTAAAATTATTTTTCTGGAGAAGTGATTTTTCAGATTTACCTTCATACAGTTTGGTCCTGCCAAAAATATTAAACTTAACAGAAAACCATAATTTACACCTGCTCTGTGGGTGTCTGTGAGTTGCTGCTTTGTGTCTCTTTTTCCATCCCTGATTGATTTGCTGCCTGTTGTTTTCCCATTTCTCCTTGGTCAGTTGTTTTTTTTGGGTAGCTTCTGTCTGGAATTTAAAAAAAAAAAAAGACAAGAAAAGAAAAAAATAATCAGTGTTGGTTTCCTGGGCAATTTCTCTGTTTTTCTAACTGGTTTTTATTAATGCTTTTGAGATGAATCCCAGGAATCCGAAGCTTTGCAGCCAAAGGAGGTGTTTAAATTTTGAATGCTGTGCCATCCAAGGGTGCTTTGGAGGTGCCTTGTGGGTGCAGACAGAGCACAGCAGAGCTGGAAGGACACACAGACACGTGGATTAATGGGAATAATCCACCCAGCTGGAAAACTCTGGGTGCTGCAGTTGAACTCCTCACTTGGGCACATCCAAAGGAAATCAGACCCTGAACCTCCAGGGCATTTCTGCTGATCACATTTCTAGAAACGCCCACAAAAACAAACGACAGCCCTGGGCATCCTGATTCACATCTGAAGCAGCCGCTCAGGTGGACAAAGCCCTGCTGGAAGTGCGGGGTCAGGGCGGTCATTGGCTTGTGGGACGTTTCCTCCTCCCCATCTCTTCCATCTTTTTACCCTTTTTGTTTTCAGGCTGCGCTGAGAGGCTTCCCAATAAATCCAAATTGAAGAGCAGCAGCCAGAAAAAGTGAGCAAGCATCAGATCAGGACAAAATGCCTGATGCCAAGGGGAACTCTCCATCCTTCAGTGCAATTTTTGAGAGGCACTAACAGGAGTGGAATGGCCCCATCCTCACAGCCACAAATCCATTAATTAAAAAGGAATGCCAGCATTAATGATCTGTTGACACAAATTACAGTACAAGGACCTGTGTGCAGGGTTTGTCAGCACTCCAGGCTCATCGTCAACAGCTCCTTTAAATACAGAGTGTTCCACCAGGATCAAAGGAGAAAATTCCTACTCATGGGAAGAAGAAAGGATCAAATTCCTGGGACAGGAAAGTAGTAGGGAATGCTATAGTTAGAGTACAAGAGTACAGCTAATTGCCAGTGGCAAAGGCAGCAAGGAAAAATAAAATAAAATTCAAAGTAAAATATGGAAAAAAAATAGAACAACTTTGCATGGGAACAGTGAAAGAAAGACCAACACCATTTTCATTTTTCACTTTTCTCTTGAAACCAAATCCTCCAGCTGCCATGAAGCCCTGCAATAATCCAGCTTAGAGCAAGAACTGTGAACTGAAAGGACAAAATTGAAAGCCAACCACAATGGCAGGGCTGCCAGGCAGAGCCTGTCATTACTGCAGGGCTGGAACAAGGCAGGCACCTCTCAGCCCCAGCATTTCCCTGCTTGTTCCCCAGCCACAAACACAAATTTGCCTTCTCACAATGACAAGGTGATGCTCTCACCAGATGTTGTTTTTTTTTTTTTTTATTTTTGTTTCATTTCCCTGGAATCCACTGGAATCAGCAGCCTGAGATGCAGCCACCAAAGCAGCTGAGGGGCTGGGGAATGAGCAGGGCAGAGCTCTGACACCTTCAGGCTGTGGGGAATTTAAAAAATGTCATGGGAGCATTAAACACCAGAAATACTCTATAGATCCAGAGATATATTATAGAGATATAATAGCCAGAGACAGGTGAAACCCCCAGAAATGCCCCCCTGGATTTGTGGTGAGCACTGGGCAGCCAAGGGATGCTCAGTGTTGGGAGAATCAACCCCAGTTCCCCTGGGAGTGGGGAGGGAGAAAGGCTGGGGAGCACAGCTCAGCTCAGAGTGGAGAGACTGGTTAAAAATTCAAAATTCAAATCCTCCTAGAGCAGGAAAAATGTTGACACAGCTGCTCTTGCAGGATGTCTTTGGAATAGCAAAGCCCCAGGAAGCAGAGCTGTGCAGGATTAGAGATTGGACAAGGCAGATATAATAATAAAATAATTATTAATAAAAATAATAAATTAAATAAAATTATGTCTTTTATAAAATAAATTAAATAGAATTATATATTTTTATAAAATTATTTATCTTTATAAAGTTATTTCTAAAATAAAAAATAAATAAAATTATTAATAAAATAATAAAATAATTATTTTTTAAAACCCTCAATGTGTCCCTTTCATCCCCTCTCTGAACCCCACAGAAGCTGCTGCTCTCCTCCCTGGGGTGATTTTAGGAGATTTCAGCTTTGTCCAGCCTGGACTTGGCTCCTTGCAGTCAGGAAATATCCAGTCCATGAGAGCAGCAACCACAGCAAATCTGCTCCTTCCCAAAAACCCTGCCAGGAGCAGGCAGTAACCTCTGCACTGCCACAGCTGGGAGGCAGAAAAGTGGGGAAAAAAACCCTGGAATTGCAGCCTGGAGGGTCCTGCCCGTGGCTGGGAGGGAGCAGGGGAAGGAGAAAATGCTGGATTTGCTGTTTGCTTGGTGGGAGAAGCTTTTTGCATCCCTGGCAGGCATTTTCCAGGCTGCTCTGAACACAGCTGATGGAGACAACAGGAAGGGCTCCTTTTTCCATGAGATTCCAGGAGATTCCATGAAATTCCAGGAGATTCCAGGAGATTTCTGGCCCAGCAATCTCCATGAGATTCTTCCATGAAATTCCATGAAATTCCAGGAGATTCCATGAAATTCCAGGCGATTCCATGAAATTCCAGGAGACTGCTGGCCCAGCAATCTCCATGAGAGTCTTCCATGAAATTCCATGAAATTCCAGGAGATTCCAGGAGATTGCTGGCCCAGCAATGCCCATGAGATTCCAGGAGATTCCATGAAATTCCAGGAGATTCCAGGAGATTCCAGGAGATTCCAGGAGATTCCAGGAGACTGCTGGCCCAGCAATCTCCATGAGAGTCTTCCATGAAATGCCAGGAGATTCCATGAAATTCCATGAGATTCCATGAAATTCCAGGAGATTCCAGGAGATTGCTGGCCCAGCAATGCCCATGAGATTCTTCCATGAAATTCTCCCATGAGATTCCATGAAATTCCAGGAGATTCCAGGAGATTCCATGAAATTAGAGGAGATTCCAGGAGATTGCTGGCCCAGCAATCTCCATGAGAGTCTTCCATGATATTCCATGAAATGCCAGGAGATTCCAGGAGATTCCATGAGATTCCAGGAGATCCCATGAGATTCCAGGAGATTTCTGGCCCAGCAGCTGCTCTGGATCAGGGCTGTGCTTGTTGTGACACCTGGCACGGGTCAGGGGCAGGGGAACAGGAGCTTTTGCTGCCTGCAGGTGGTTTGGGATTGGGATAATGGGAATTCCTGAGGCTGGCACAGGGGGATTGGGATAATGGGAATTCCTGAGGCTGGCACAGAGGAGCTGATGGGATCAGGGTTGGGTTGGGCTGGATTTGTTCACACCCAGGTGGGGAGGGAGGGAGGGAGGGAGGGGCTGCTCCCATCCCATCACCCCCCAATCTCCTCACTGCACAGAAATGTCAGAGTTGGACTTGCCAGGGAAAGTTTTCTTCTTATCTGAAGATTATTTTAGGATTTTTCCCTAGAAACAAACCACTCCTCTGGATCTCTCTTGGACAGTGTGGAGTTAACAGCAGGCTGCATTTTTTTTTTTCTCGTGGTCATATTATCTAATAATAATAATAGCTTCAGTTTCTTGGAATTTGTTTGGAAGTGTCTGGTTCTGTCTGATGCTGCAGACAGGATCCTGGACTGGCTGAAGTTCTGATCTGGATGCTCCCAAAGTTTCCCTTGTTGCAGCGTGTAATTATTTAAATGTTTATTTAAGGGGTTGTTATAATTATAATTATAATTATAATATTCTCCTCTTTCCTGAAACTCTTCCCCCTCTGGGGTAGAGGGAATCTATTTTCTGGTGGAGTAGAGAGACAGAAAAATGTCAGCAGGAAAAATTCAAGTGTGGCAATTAAGTTTATGCTCATGGATCCCATGGGAAGGCTCCTGACTTTTGTTTTTAAGTTCTCTGGTGGAGTCCCACAGACATTTAAGGACAGTGAGTTTTAATTCCCTTTCTTCACTTGATGATTAATTTGATTGCATTGTATAATCCAACAAATCCAATCCACTAAATGGTGTTAACCATCAGCTACAACAACCTGACAACAGAATGTGAGAAAACAGAAAAAAAATGACCATATTTTAATTTTCCTTTAATATATAATTTTACTTTTAATATCCTAGCAGCAGCTACTTTATTTCCTATTTTATACCCCATTTCTTGACTTTAATTTTCCTGTAAATACCCACCCCTTGCTTACAAATCACAGGACAGGGTAAATATTGTTTTCTAGGCTGTCTTTGGAGACTGGAGCTGGAAGTAAAACCATATGAGGAGATCAAAACCCCATTGAAGGCAGCAGCAGCATAAATCCAGTCTGGAGGAGTGTCAGACAAAGGCAGCAACAGCTGGATCAAGTAAAGCACCAGGAAAATTGGTTCCATCCCTAGGGGGAGGGAGAAAAGATTTGTTTTGTGGGACCGAGTTTGATGTCAGAGTGAGGGAGGGCTCAGGAGGTGCCAGAGGGAAGGGAAGGAGCAGAGGGATCTGCAGAAAGTGCTGGGGAAGGGGAGGAGGTGGAGGAAAACTGCACAATCTGAGCTGCTCCCAGCTCTGGGGATGTAAATTGATGAGGTCACCGTGTTTTCCAGTCACAGAAAAGAGAGTTAAAGGAAAGTGTTGAACTTGTTTTTCGAGAGAGGCAAAAACTCCGAGGAGCAGAAGAGAGAAATGGAGCAACTTGTGAAACTCCTCCTGTGGCAGATCCTGCTTCAGCAAAGTAAGCTCTGAGCTGCTGCTGTGCTGTTATTTGTTTTTATTTCAGCTGCACAACAGGGTTTGTGCAGGTTTACAAGATTTCGAAGTGTCATCTTTGTTCAGATTCCTAAATGTGCTCTGTTTTCATCTGGGGAGGGGAGGCAGTCGGAGGTTTCCTCTCTGCTTTTTTTGGGGAGAGAATGGAAAAATGTTTGAGGTTGTTGGAGCTCTGTTCAGCATGTTTGTGCAATTCTTTTTTTTCCTATCAGCAAATTCAAAGCCAATAAGCTTGGCTGAGAGTACAGCAAAGCTTTCAGAGTCAGAGTTACAGGATTTAAGGTTATTTTTCTTAAGTTTGAAGAAGCAGAAACAGCTTGGGGGGCTGTGAGAGGGTTCAGAGCAAGGAAAAAAAAAAGGATTTGTGTTTTTTGGGTTTCTATTTCTCTTGTCAGCATAAAGACACACACAGAGTTCACTTTTGGGTAGCAATGTGCAAGAAAGGAGTAGGAAATGAGAAGTTTTTTGGGGACTGGTGACCCCCTGCTCTTCCCAGCCCTTTTAAAAGGCTGTGGCTGACACCTGAGCCCCTCAGCTCCTCAGCACTGAGGTGGAATCAGGTGAGGAATTCTCCCTTTGGTCCCTCATTAATCCTCTTTCCATTTTTGCAATGCCCCAAGGCAAGGCTGAGGAGCTGGCAAGGGATGGGATCGGTCACAGGGACAGAAGGGTTAAAGGGGCTCAGAAATCTGAGCTGTGGGGTGGGTTAGAGAGGAGGATGAGGAGGAGGAGAAGCCAGAGGTGCCACCTGAGCAGGGATGGGCTATGACACAGCTTCAGGTGCATTTTGGACTGAGCTGGGTGCACTCTGAGGTTTGAGCCCACCCAAATCAGGTTTATAACTCAATAACGAGGATGGGGAGAGGGGAAATCTGTGACCCCTCCTGCACAGGAACCACTCCTGTGGAATCAGGTGAGGAATCAGGTGAGGAGCTCTCCCTTTGGTCCCTCATTAATCCACTTTCCATGTCACCACAGCATTTTTGCAATGCCCCAAGGCAAGGCTGAGGAGCTGGCAAGGGATGGGATCGGTCACAGGGACAGAAGGGTTAAAGGGGCTCAGAAATCTGGGCTGTGGGTGAAAAAACCCTGGAATTGCAGCCTCCTAGAGAGGAGGAGGATGAGGAGAGCCCACAGCTGTGTGCTCCAGAAGCTCAAACCAGTCCAGTGAGTCCCAGCGAGGTTTGGCAGAGCAGCCGGGGCAGGAAGAGCAGGTTGGGCTCCTGCAGAGCCAGAGGTGCCACCTGAGCAGGGATGGTCTCTGACACAGCTTCAGGTGCATTTTGGATTGGTCTGGGTGCACCCTGAGCTTTGAGCCCACCCAAATCAGGTTTTATATATATATATATATATATATATATATAAAACAGAGCACAGAGATTTCCTCACAGCACAGATTTCCCCCTCCCCATCCTCGTTATTGAGTGATATGTGTATATATATATATCTATCTCAATTATATAGATATATATAAAAATATATATTATCTATATTATAGATAAATATATAAATATATAACATAAAATATATAACTCAATTATATATATAAAATATATATAAAAATAAATACAATATATAAACATATATTTATATATATTTATATATATAAATATAGAAATATATATCAATTATATATAATACATATATAAAAATATATATTATCTATATTATAGATAAATATATAAATACATAATAGAAAATATAGATATCACTTAATTATGTATATAATATGTATAAAATATATATAATATATATTATATATAAATATATAATATAAAAATCTATATATCACTCAATTATATATATATAATATATATAAAAATATAATATATAAATAAAGAAAAAAAATTTAAAAAATAATATATAGATAACGAGGATGGAGAGGGGAAAATCTGTGACCCCTCCTGCACAGCAGCGACTCCCTCAAGTGTTAATGGCTCAGCTCCGTGTTTGGAATGGCTCAACAAAACCATCCCGTGGGCCTGCAGCCAAGGGGAAGCTCACAGGGCAGGGGAGGCTTTCTAAAACTCTGCAAAAATCCCAGAAAAGCTGGGGCAGATCTCTGAGGGATCCTGTCTGTGCCCCAGATGGGGAGCGGCTCCTTGCACTTGTGAAAAACGCCAATCACTTGTTTTTAAAATTTTCAAAGTTTAATAGTAATAAAATGGTTATTAAAATAGTAATACAATTAGAGTAATAATAATTTGGACAAATTGAATTAGCACAATATGAGACAATAGAAACAAAGAGTTACAGACAGTCCGGGTACCTTTTCTGGGCAGCACGAGCCCGAAAAAGGACCCACGTTAACAAAGGGTTAACCCTTAAAAACAACAGCCTGTTGCATATTCAAACACCTCATTAGTGATGCATAAATTCCATTCAAACACAGGATTCTGTCTGGTCAGTGTCAGCTTCTTCCTCTGAATCCTAACAGCACCTTCGGGCAGGAAGAAATTTGTTTCTTCTGCTAGTGGGGCAGTAAATTCTCTTTCTCTGAAAGTTTCAGGTGTCCTGTGGCTGCTGTCTCACTGCGAGTCCTTTATTTAAAAAAAGTATCCTACATAGCATCGTTTCTATTTTAACATTTTTTATAACCTAAAACTCTATTTAACACACTGCTCGAGAGAATCGATACAGCATTACTTTCTAACACAACACATATAACATTCACTTTCATATTTGCCAAAAGCCAATCCCAAAATACCTGCGTTTTTCACACACAGACACGAGGATTCTCCTTTCCGCAGAGGCAGCACATTGCTGCTCTCTGCATGTTCCTACCTGCAGGGAGGGCAGGATTCGTTGGGGCTGGCTGGGTGTTCAAGGGCTCTGGAATCCTTTTGGGAAGTGGGAGAGTCTGCTGCTGGGAAAGCTGTCCCAGGAAGCCTTTAACAAAAATAAACAGAGATTTAGAGGAAAATCCCAGTTCAAAGCCTGGCATTGAAGGGAAATTCAGTTTTGAAGGGAAATTCAGACTGAAAGGTCTTGCAGGCTGGACTGGGAGCAGTTTGGGATCAGCTGTTTGCTCACCTCCAGATGAGCCCAAATGTTTCTCCCGGTCACTGCTCAGTGAGTTTTAAAAGCCTGGGCTCATTTATGTCACCCAAAAAAGCCATCAGGGCCTGTCAGCCCCCCAGAGAGTCAGGATGGAGCCACTGCCACCCCCAGAGGGTCTGGGGACAGCGTGGTGGCACTGGCTGCTGCTTTTGCCATGGTTGTGCAATGAGCCTGCAGAGCCCATTAAACCCCCTGCACACAGAGGGATTTGTGGGAAAAATGAGGAATTTGGCACACACAGATTTGGGGAAGAACTGGTCCTGTTGGGCTCTGGTTGTTTTGCATCCCCCAGTGTGAAAGAGGAGCTCAGCAGCTCCTGGGTCCCAGCAGGGAGTTCAGCCCAGCATTGTCCAGACAGGGCTCAAGGGACAAATTTCTGTCCTTGCCCTGCTCCAGGGACACTGCCAGAGCCCTGAGCATGTCACACATCTTTCACAGCCCCAGCCTTTTGCTTCTAGTTTGCCCACAGCTTTTTTGGGCCTTTTTGGGGTTTTTTTGGGGTTATTTTTGTGGCTTAATTCTTCACATGAAAAATGGATGGGATTCAAGAAGTAAGAGCTGGCTCTGCCTTTTACAAGGGATTAAGAAATCGTTTTCCGGGCTGCTTTCCTCTTTTTTACTGTGGGACCACAGAGTATCTCTGGGATCCTGCTGACTCAGCACGGGGGACAGCACAGAATTGGCTTTTGTTGGGTTTTTTGTTGGGTTTTTTGGTGTTTTTTATGGGGGGGGGGGGTGGTTTTTTTGTGTTTTTTTTTTTTTTTTTTCCTTCCATTGCCCCCAGTGCTGCATCCATGAGCTGTCACCTTTCTCTCTACTCAGAAATCCCTGCCCTTCGTGCTGGAGCTGTCACCTTTACTGGGCTGTCTTTCATCTCTGCTTCAAATCCCTTTTAAAAGCCATAAAATCCCTTTTAAAAGCCATAAAACCCCTTTTAAAATGGAATGACTTTTTTGAGGAAGCAACAGCATTCCTGCCCTGTTCCTGGCTGAAGTTTTAGGAGTGGGAGAGGAAAAGAACCCAGAAGACATCAACTTTTCTTGTCTAAAAGCTGCTCTATCTCAACCAAGCCCCCTTTTTCACAGAGAATTGTGTTTGGAAATGCTGCGCAGGCTCCAGCAGCTCCACCTGGGAAGGGGAAAGGGGAAAGAGGAAATTTCAAGGAAAGGAAAGGAAAAGGGAAAAAGGGAAAAGGAAAAGTCCTTGCCCTTGCAGGTGGGAGGTGCAGGGCTCCAGGAAGGTGCAGAAGCAGGTGCTGCTGTGAGCTCAGAGTTTTTGTCACTCCTTGGATTTCCAGAGCTGCATTCCTGAATATTGTGGTAAATTCGATGCTGCTCCGTGTTTTTCCCATTAGCAGAGGGGAGCAGTAAATGCCTTCATTCCTCTGCCTGGGCCAGCAGAGGATGTTTCTGTCCCACCAAATCGATTTGTTCTTGTGCAGGGCTCTGGAAGCAGCCTCAGGCACCATTCCCCAGCTCCAAATCGCCGCTTATGTCACGACATTGTCCCCTGGCCCCGGGGCAAACCACACCCGGACACTGCCTGGACACAGGGACACCTCAGCTGGTGGCCTGGCACAAGTGACACCGATTTTTTTCCTGGCTGATTTGGTGCTGTGGAAGAGATTTTTTAATAATTCTTTTGTTTTTCTAAGCCAAATCTAAGTCCTGGCTTCCAGCTGACACATTTTGCAGCCTATCATGAGAAACAATCAAATGATGGAATTATGGTGTCTCTTACAGACAGAGAGCACAGACCTTGTCCAAGGTTTGATTTTTCTCTTTGTGATGCTGAGATTTTAAATGTAAGGAAAAAAACCCTCCTATTTGAAGTGCCTTTTTAAGGGAAAGACACTTTTCCTCCTATTTTAAGGAAAAACCCCTCCTATTTGAAGTGCCTTTGAGCTGGCAGCTCAACAGAGAGTGCTGCTCATTTTTGGTTCTCTGCTGCCCAGTGCTTTGTGATAGAAAAAGAGGAGGAAACCAAATTAATTCTCAGCACTTGGGGCTGTGCAAATACCCCCAGTCTGGAGCTGAATTTGAAATTCATAAATTCCAGGGCTAAAAAAAAAAAAAAAAAAAATTAAAAAAAATACAGTCTTTGTCTGGAGGACTTTGTGCCTCTGACATTAGCAGGACAAAACCTCCTGTGATTTTGATGGGTTTGGCTGGGTGGAGAGATGAATGGTGGGGTTGTGTTGGGGAATCTGTGTTGGGAATCCAAAGCCTGATGCCAGGAGACCTTCTGGACCCCTCCCACACAAGGAGCAGGAGGGACTGGGGCAGAGAAATGCAGAATCAGAGGAATTGGTTCATCTCTGTCAGAGTTGCCCAGAATCAGAGGAATTGGTTCATCTCTGGCAAGGTTGCTCAGAATCAGAGGAATTGGTTCATCTCTGGTAAAGTTCCTCAGAATCAGAGGAATTGGTTCATCTCTGTCAGAGTTGCCCAGAATCAGAGGAATTGGTTCATCTCTGGCAAGGTCCCTCCTGTGTGGATCTGAGTCGTGGGGGTTGGAGGGAGCTGCTGCACCCAGAGCATCACAGAATTAACTGTGACACAGAATTCACTGTGCAGACCACGAGTGGGAAATGGATATAAACACCCAGATATAAACACCAGCATTAACAGGGAAAGGGGGAATAGATGGAGAAATAACAGAGGCTGCTGACTTGGAGTGTGTTTGTAGCTTTTTTTATCCTTTTGTTGCCAGTGACACTCTTTATTTTCTGCTTTCACAGGTTCTGTGGGCTCATATTCAGGTGAGTGACACCCCTGGAAATCTGCCAGGCTTTGTGATTATGAGAGGAGAGAGAGGGCCCTGATTCCATGGCTTTCATTCCTAACAGGGGCTTTCATTCCTAACTTCCATGAATTATCCACCCCATGCACTGGTGTCCCTAAACCTGCATTAAACTGGGGCTCAGGACTAGGAAGGGTGGGTAGGACAGCTTGAGTGCTCAATCCTGATAACAGACATGAATGAAATCTGTGGTTTAAAGTTTTATTTATTAGGAAAAGGTTCTTCCCCCTGAGGGGGGCCCTGACCAGGCTCCCCAGGGAATGGTCCCAGCCCCAAGAGCTCCAGGAGCATTTGGATCCCTCTCAGGGGTGCACAAGGTGGGGTTGTTGGGGTGTCTGTGCAGGGATAAGGTTGGATCAGAGATTCCTGGGTCCCTCCCAGCTCAGGATTCTCCATGGCATTGCCCCGTGCTGGTCTTGAAACCAGAATCAAAAATGCACAGAGACTGCAGCACCCCCTTCACACCCCATTAACTCCATAACCTACAACTCTTTTTTTTGCTGTTTGCTCCTGGTTTTTCCAGTCCCAGCTGATGCCTCCAACCCCACCAGCCTGGTGGTGTCTGTGCTGAGCAGGTTCCCCTGGGAATGGTCCAAGAGCCAAGCCCCAAGAGCTCCACCAGCTCCAGGAGCATTTGGATCCCTCTCAGGGGTGCACAGAGTGGGATTGTTGGGGTGTCTGTGCAGGGATAAGATTGGATCAATGATTCCTGAGTCCCTTCCAGCTCAGGATTCTCCATAACAGTGCCCCATAAATGCACAGAGACTCCAGCCCCTCCTTCACACCCCATTAACTCCACTCTTTGTTTTGCTGGTTTTTGCAGTCCCGGTCTGTGCTGAACATCAGGGCAGCCCTGGGCCCCCAGGCCGTGCTGCCCTGCAAGAGCCACCGCATGGTGTGGACCTGGGAATGGTCCAAGAGCTCCAAGAGCCCCAGGATGGCACTCTTAGGGATGCACAGAGTGGGATTGTTGGGGTTTCTGTGCAGGGATAAGGTTGGATCGGTGATTCCTGGGTCCCTCCCAGCTCAGGATTTTCCATGACATTGCTCCATGCTGGTCTTGAAACCAGAATTAAACACGCAGGGATTTCAGCAGCTCCTTCCCGCCCCATTAACTCCACAACCCTACAACTCTTTCTTTTGCTGGTTTTTGCAGTCCCAGCTGATGCCTCCAACCCATCCAGCAGCGTGGTGGTGTCTGTGCTGAACATCAGTGCAGCCCTGGGCTCCCAGGCCGTGCTGCCCTGCAAGAGCCACCGCATAGTGTGGACCCAGGACCGCCTGAACGACCGGCAGCGCGTGGTGCACTGGGACCTGCTCAGCTCCTACTTTGGGGACAGCAGGATGGAGAGGCTCTGTGACATGTACTCGGCTGGGGACCAGCGTGTCTACAGCTCCTACAACAAGGGCAGGATCCTCATGCCCGAGAATGCCTTTGCAGATGGGAATTTCTCGCTGGTGATCAAAGGTGTGGAGGTTTTTTCCCACCCTCGATGGGTTTTGGTGGGAATGGGTGGCTCACAGGATGTTTTTTGATCAATAGATTTATGGTTTAGTTGGGGTGTTAGGCCATGGGTTGGGCTTGATGATCTCAAAGGTCTCTTCCAACCTGGTCACTCTGTGAATTCTGTGAGTACCAGGTTAATAAGTCAAATTCTCAGGAGGAATTTTAGGGTTTGGAACTGCCCAGGGAGGTGGGGGAAGACACTTGGGACTCAGGGTTTGGGAGCAATCTCAGTGCACTGGTTTTGGTGGAAATTAGTGGTTCACAGCATGTTTTTGATAAATGGATTTATGGTTTAGCTGGGGTGTTAGGGCATGGGTTGGACTTGATCTCCAGTGCCTACAGCTCCTACAACCAGGGCAGGATCGTCATGCCTGAGGATGCCTTTGCAGAGGGGAATTTCTCGCTGGTGATCAAAGGTGTGAAGGTTTTTTCCCACCCTCGATGGGTTTTGGTGGGAATGGGTGGTTCACTGCAACAATGACCAAATTATTATATTGGGTGAGGTGATTTGTCTATCACCACCCAGGTGATAAGGATGTATTAGAATGAAGTTGTTTACATCAAGGATTTGGGAAACTGCAAACGACACAAATAATTGTTGTCTCAGTATAAACCACTGAATTCCTCTCTCTGCAAATGGCACAAATCACCATTGTCTCAGTATAAACCACTGAATTCCCCTCTTTTCCCTGCTCTACAGGTGTGTCAGACAGTGATGCAGGCACATATTCCTGTAACCTTCACCACCACTACTGCCACTTGTACGAGACTGTGAAAATCCAGCTGATCATCGCCAAGGGAGGTGGGTGTGGGGACACCTCTGGTGCTACAGGGGCCACAGGAGGCTTGGGAAGCAGCAGCAGGAAAACCTGGTGCTCCCTGTGCTGTTTGCTGCCTGCTTCCCTGAGTTTCAGAGGTTTTATTTACAAAACTCTCATTTTCCTTGGCCAGACAGTGCCTGCTCAGCTCAGTGTTTGCTCCTTACCAAACTGTCCCTGCTGCAGCAGCAGCACAGCCCTGGTGACAATTCCCTCCTGGTGACAATCCCCACCCTCATCTCAGCCACAAGGACCAGCCCGTTCTCTTGCTGATGAGCTTATCCTATCCAGCCTCTACTTAAAACCCACCCCACCTTAAGCCCAGCTCTAACATCCAGCTGTTGGCAGCTGCAGGGAGTCCCACCCATCCACACAGGCACCCTTGAAAAATCCATTTAAACCTCTGGGCGACAGCAGTGGAGCTGCTGGGGTGGGAGTGCATCTCCTCTCACAGTGCAATAAAAACACCCTGAGAGCCCCAAGCCGCTCCTCTGTGCTCTGCTTCCTCTGTTATTCCTTTTCTAAGAGCCAAGATCAGAGCAGTGCTGCTTCAGCTCCTCCAGTAATTAGGGCCTTTGTGGGTAGGAAAGCATTTCCTGCTCAGAGGATTGGGATGAAGATCCTCGTTCCATTCTTAGCCTGTGGAGGGAATTTGCTTCCTGCTCTCTGAAGCAGGAGATTAACTCTGAGTTAGAAGGAGGAGAAAGTGGCCTTGCTTCATGAAATGGCCAAGGGTGTTAGAGGATATAGGTGGGTTTTTTTTACTAACTGGTGAAATAAATGTGAAACAGCCAGGGTTGTTCATGCTAGTGCATGTTCAGGCTGTGCCATGTGGCACGTTGAAGAGTTTGGGAGGGGGTGTGCTACAGGATTCCAATCTTGGGGAGCTTTAGGGTTCCAAGAGAGCAATCTCTGGGAGTCCTTGGCACTTGGAATTCAACATTCCAGGCTCTGGGAGCAATCTCAGGTGTCTCTGGCTGTCCTTGACACTTGGTGTTGAGTGGGAATTTTGTATCAGCTCCGTCCACGCGTGCAGCAGCAAATTGGCCTAAAATATTGCTGATTTTGGCCAAGGAAAAGAAACCTGGGTGATGCCTCAGGTTTAGATTTTCTGTTTTTCACATTCTGTGCTGCTTTAGTGTGTGGATCTGGGCTTCATATTATGGGATGGTGAGCTCTGTTCACACAGCAGGGAGACAAAACAATTCCTGCTCCAGCTGGGGACCAAGGACAAATGATCCCAATCTCAGCCCAGGAGCACAAACAACGTGGGCTGGAGAGAGAAAAACAAGGATGGGACTGCATGGCTAAAGCTGGAATTGGACAATTCACTCCAAAATGCAAATGGAGCAGAACTTGTAAAAGTGAGAGACCCTGTGAGTGGTCGTGCATTTTGGAACCATTTTGGATCATCTTGGGTTCATTTGGGACCATTTTGGTTCATCTTGGGTTCAGCCCTGGCTGGGCTCTTGTGCTGCCAAGGGTGGCTCCATGGAGGAGATCCTTTTCATAAATTCCTGCTTTATTCTGTAACTCTGTCTAGTCTGTTGTAGCCCAGCCTTCACAAGGCATCCCTCCAAATATTTCCAAGGAGCTGCTGCTCAGCTTGAAGTGTGTTTTCCTCTCCCCATCTCCCAGATTTTTCCTCCTTTTTCTCTGTAGTGGAGCAAACCCATTTTAAGGTTGTGTTCCTCACCAGGTGAGGAGGCCAGGCTCTTGTGCTGCCCAAGGTGGCTCCATGGAGGAGATCCTTTTCATAAACCCCTGCTTTATTTTTTAACTCTGTCTAGTCCGTTCTTTTTTAAACCTGTCTAGGTCAGCCTTCACAAAGCATCACAGGAAGGAAACTTAAGTAGATTTTGTGGGGGGGGGGGGGAAGGAGAAGTGGGGCAAAACCAGTGGGGCAAGAGGAGCAAACCCATTCCAAGGTTGTGTTCCCCCACAGACGAGGAGCCCAGCGAGTACTGGGACGGCGAGAAGCCGGTGCTGGTGGCCCCGGAGGGCAGCACGGTGACGCTGCCCTGCGTCAACCGCCAGCACATCTGGACGGAGCGGCACAGCGAGGAGGAGCAGCAGGTGGTGCACTGGGACCGGCAGCCCCCGGGGGTGCCCCAGGACCGCGCCGACCGCCTGGTGGATCTGTACGCGTCCGGGGAGCGCCGCTCCTACGGGCCCCAGTTCCTGAGGCAGAAGATGAACGTGAGCCGCGGAGCCTTCGGCCTTGGGGACTTCTCGCTGCGCATCTCGCGCCTGGAGAGCGCCGACGAGGGCACCTACTCGTGCCACCTGCACCACCACTACTGCGGGCTGCACGAGCGCAGGATCTACCACCTGGCTGTCACCGAGCCGCAGAGGGACAGCAGGGTGGTGAACATCACGGTCCCTGCTGCAGGTGAGTGTTCCTGTAGGGATGGGCACTGAGGGTGGTGAACATCACGGTCCCTGCCGCAGGTGAGTGGTGTCATTGTAGAGATGGGCACTGAGGGTGGTGAACATCACTGTCCTTGCCGCAGGTGAGTGATGTTCTTGTAGAGATGGACAGCAGGGTGGTGAACTTTTTTTTTTGTATTTTTCCCCTTTTTATTGGCTCTCTTTCCTCCATGCTTTCATGGAGGTGTGGGCAGGGGGTTGATGCAGCCCTGCCTTTGCTGTCCCAGCTCTTCCCAGCAGAGTTTCTCTCCCCTTTGCACGGATGTTTGGGCTGTGCAAGGTGCCAGACCATGCAGAATCAACCACCAGGAATTTTCTTTCCTCCACCCTTCAGCTTTTCTTTTTTTTTTTTTTTTTTTTTTGTGTGTCTGCGTGCCATAAACCAATTTTCATATTTTCCACTGCACTCAGCTATCATCTGTCAGCCTGTCCAAACTCAAAACCATCACACTTCGTTCAGGCAGAAAAAGAAAACAAAAATCCCAAGTTTAATATAAAGTCTTTTGGGTATAGTTCTTTATTGACACTTTAAAGTATTACTTGTGTTTTAATATTTATTGCCTGTTTAATACAGAATTTTGATTCGCTTCATACATTTTTAAATGGGTTTATTCTCCTGTAAGAAATTGGCTTTCTCAAGTCACAGAGACCTAAACTTTTCCCCTGGGGCTAAAGTTGGTGTCCAGTTCCTCCTGTTTGGAGCAGAGGCAGGGGCTCGGTGCTGCTTTCAGGCTCAGCACTGGAAATGTGCAGGATATTTACTAAAAGTGCATTTTTACTCAGGGTTTGCTCTGCAGCAGGTGGCAGGAGAAGCTGTTCTGTCTCATAATTAGTGGTAAAATATTGGCAAACCTTTGCCAGGTTTGTGGAGAGCTCTCCACCTTTTCCAGCAGAATAATTTGGTCTTTGACACTTTGGGAAGATGATGTTAAAGCACTTCTTAAACTTAAGGTTTCCCCCCTCATCATTAGGATTTATTTTTCAGTGGTTAAAATGTACTGGGAGTGGATTTGGGGTGGGTGGATGTTTAGGATTTATTTTTCAGTGGTTGAAATGTGAATTTGGGGTGGGTGGATGTGAGATGTGCTGAGAGATCAGATCTTGGTTGCAGAATAAACCTTCACCACCCCAGCTTAAATTCTGGTCCCCAGTTATCAAATGGGAAACACCCCATTGCACAAAGTTATCAAATCTCAGTTTCCACTCTTTGTTTTTGCAGTGATCTCCTCAGTGTTGCCTAAAGTTTAAACCCAAGTTCTGTGGGAAAGCAAAAATCCAGGAATAGAAATTCCTGTGTTTGCTGTGGCACCATCTCATTATGGCAGCAAGGAGCCAGGGGTGGGACAGGGCAGAGCTGTCACATGTGCTGTTTGCAGCTTTGCAAGTGGCTTTCTTGGTTTGAATTGATATTTTTTAGCTTGGCAGGGTGGAAATCCCGTGTTTTTTCCAGCTCTGTGTCCAGGGAGAACTGGAAATCCCAGTAAAAAGAGCACATTGCTCTGTTGATTTTTGATTTTCACGTTGCTTTTTGATTTTCTAGGAGTGCTGTTGGCATTAGCAAACCATCAGCTCTGGTTTCAGAGTGTTTATTTCCACCCACTCTTGCTTGATTTAATTTGATTTTCGCTGGGTTGGTGTTTTTGAACTGCTGGAAACTGCCCAAAAAACTGGAGGCAGTCCCAGTGCCAGAAGTGTCAGGACACGTCTGCTGAAGGGTGCTGTGGCTTTTGAGGTGTTTTTGAGGTTTTATTTCCCCCACTTTTGCCCTTGTTCCCTCTGGGGAATTCGCAGAGGGATCTCCCAAGGGCTCCATCCTGATCTTGCCTGGTGCTCTGTGAAAATTCCCTGTAGGGGGAATCTCTTCTGCTCAGTTTTGAAGGAAAAATCCCTCTCCCCTTAGAGCCCTCTGGGATTCCATCCATGCCTGGGCTGGCTTTGTCCATTCCTCTTGACTGTTGCAAGCAGAGGAGCCACTTCCTCTTTACATGTGTAAAACATTGACCTATTTATTTGAGACCTACAAAAAGAAATAAAAAATGTAAAATGTTCCACATAAAAGTTTTGAGCTCCCCTTTCCTGTGCTGTGGGACAGGAATCCTGCTGCATCCTCAAAAGGAATGGAATCTTGGCTTTCCTCTGCTTTTTTAGGGGGGTTTATTTATTTTATTGATTTGATTTCATTTCAAAGGAAGCTCATTTTTTTTTGGCTCTGGAAACTCTTCCCACTCCATAAATTATAACCCTTGGCAAGGAGGGGCTGCTGGCTGGAGCCAGAGCAGTTTGGAGTTTGTGTTGAAAGGGACCCAGAGGAGCATTGTGGGACCCTCTGGAAGGTTTGGGGCTGAAATTCCCCCCCTGCAAGAACACTGCAATGGCCAGGGATCATTTTAAACCCTGGGAATTGTGATAAATCATAATTTAGGCACTGATTAATTCTTGTAATTTGGAATTCCTCCCTGAGCATTGTGGGACCCTCTGGAAGGTTTGGGGCTGGCTTTGCTCTGGAATTCTCTTTGCAAGAACACTCTGATGGCCAAGGATCACTGATCCCAGGGAAGGGATCCTGTTAGACCCTGGGAATGATGATAAATCATAATTTAGGCACTGGGAATGATGATAAATCATAATTTAGGCACTGATTAATTCTTGTAATTTGGAATTCCTCCCTGAGCATTGTGGGACCCTCTGGAAGGTTTGGGGCTGGCTTTGCTCTGGAATTCCCCTTGCAATAACACTCTGATGGCCAGGGATCCTGTTAGACCCTGGGAATGATGATAAATCATAATTTAAGCCCTGATTAATTCTTAAAATTCAGAATTCCTCCCTGAGCATTCCCACCTGGCATTGTGGGACCCTCTGGAAGGTTTGGGGCTGGCTTTGCTTTGGAATTCCCCTCTGCCAGAACATTCTGATGGCCAGGGATCCTGTTAGAGTCTGGGAATGATGATAAATCACAATTTAGGCACTGGGAATGATGATAAATCATAATTTAGGCACTGATTAATTCTTGCAATCCAGAATTCCTCCCTGTGACCTCACTCTCAGTGAACACTCCCTGTTCTCCTTCCCTCAGATCCAAACGTGGTCAGGGGCCACAATGTCATCAATGTCATCATCCCTGAGAGCAGGATGCACTTTTTCCAGCAGCTGGGCTACATCCTGGCCACTCTGCTGCTCTTCCTCGTCCTCCTCATCATCGTGGTGCTCGTCACCCGCAGGCGCCGGCACAGAGGTGAGTCCAGGGAAATCCTGGAAAGATTCCTGCAAGGAGCAGGATCCCCTCCTGGGAAACCAGGAACCTGCCCAGGGGGAGGACTTGCAGGGCTGGTCTGGTGTAAAAATGCCCAGGTTTTGATTTTGTGGAGTTGCTGGGGGTGGAAAGGATCTCCAGGGTCATCAGGTGCAGGCTTTGGCTGGATCCCACTCATGATTTGTTCTGTAGAAGGGAGAAAAAAAAGCCCTTCACAAGTGGGATTTATCCTTGGGGAGCTCAGGTGTCCAGGATTTGCAAGGTTGGTGTGGTGTAAAAATGTCCAGGCTTTGATTTTATGGAATTGTTGGGGTTGGAAAAGACTTCCAAGGTCACCAAGTGCAGGTTTTGGATGAACCCCACGCATGATTTGCAGAGTTACTCCACAGAAGAGAAGAAAAGCCCTTCCCAGGTGGGATTTATCCCTTAGGAGCTCAGGTGTCCAGGATTTGCAGGGCTGGTGTGATGTAAAAGCATCCAGGCTTTGGATTTGTGGAATTGTTGGGGTTGGAAAAGACCTCCAGGGTCATCAGGTGCAGGCTTTGGCTGCAGCCCACCCATGATTTGCTCTGTAGAAGAGAAGAAAAGCCCTTCCCAGGTGGGATTTGTCCCTTAGGAGCTCAGGTGTCCAGGTCCTTGCCCAGTGGGAGGATTTTCAGGGCTGGTGTGGTGTAAAAATATCCAGGCCTTGATCTTGTGGAGTTGTTGGGGTTGGAAAAGACCTCCAAGATCATCACATCCAGGCCACAGAAGAGAAGAAAAGCCCTTCCCAGGTGGGATTTATCTCTTGGGAGCTCAGGAGTCCAGGATTTGCAGGGCTGATGTGGTTTTAAAATACCAGGCCTTGATTTTGTGGCATTTTTGGGGTTGGAAAAGACTTCCAAGGTCACCAAGTGCAGGTTTTGGATGAACCCCACTCATGATTTGCAGAGTTACTCCACAGAGGAGAAGAAAAGCCCTTCCCAGGTGGGATTCATCCCTGGGAGCCGAGGTGTCCATGTCCCTGCTGGCTCTGGGATCCCATCAAGGGACACTGGGATCTCTGGGTGGCACCCTCAGAACTGGCTTTGGGTGCCACACAAAAAAAAAACAACCCCAGGAATGGGTCTGGACTGGCTGTGACTGCTCATTCTGCTTTTTCCTCCCGGTCAGGTTATGAATACAACGTGAAGAAATACGGAGAGTAAGTATAATCAATTTTAATATTATTAATATTATTAATTAGGTTTAGAGTGCCTTCAAGTGAAATTTAAATTTCCTCCTCAGCTAAGAGCCTAAACCAGCTGGAAATCTGGTTAGGAGGAGGAAGTGGAAGGAGAAAATGGTTTGTGGGGCTGATTTGGCAATTGAATTTCCTCTTGTTACTCTTTGGGAGCCGATTGAGGGGTGAAGTTTCTGTGAGATGTCCTTGGGAGCTGGTGGGGAAGGAATAATGCACAGATCTGCTGTGAAATGGGGCCAAGATCATGGAGCTGGGCTCCTCCAGACCTTATTTCATGGGATTAAAGTGGAAAAAAAAAAGAAATTGCAGGATTGGCTGCCCATTGTTCTAAGATCAGGACAAACAAGTGGGGAAAAAATTTAAAAATTAAATAAATCCTCTAAAGAATTAGAAAAGCTAAGGGGAAAAAGCGTGAAAGGAGCCAGATATTAAAAGATGGGACAATACCATTTTCCACCATTATTCCCTTTTCAGGAAGGACGTGAACCTTAAAGAATTTACAGTGGACACAACAGATCTGACCCCACACAAAAGTGAAGACATCAGGCTGGGTAGGTGTCCCTGGCACCAAAACAGGTCACAATCCCTGGAAATCTGAAATTTCTAATGGCACTTGGATATTTGGAAGTGAATCCATTCTTTACCCTCTGGAAGTGGGTATGGACTTTATTTGAGGATTTATAGGATGGATTTTGGGGATTTCCAGCATTGCTGAAGGTGGATGCTGCTCCTTGCTGGGGTTTGAAGGTGCAGCCTGGAGTTTATTGTGCCAATAACTGAGCAGGGCTTGGTTCTGGCTGGGATTTGGAGTTGATCCATTTCAAAAACTGCTGCTCCACCCTGAGCTTCCTGAAGCCTTGCCATGATGCCAAGTTCACCCCAGCTGGATAAACCAGGACATTATAAATATTATAAATATAAAGGGAAAAATTATAAATAATTTATTTATATATATATATAGCGACAAATATTTATCCCTTTATTTTTTTTATTTGCATCCCCAATAAAGGCACAACCTTTAAAAGAAAAAGCTGACAAGAATTGCTGTAAAGGCCCCAGCAAACAAAAAAATTTGGAAGTAAAGAAAGGAATTGCAGAGGGTGGGTTGCAAAAATCTGGACATTTAATAATCTAGATAATTAATAATCAGTCATCTCCAGGTGAGCTTTGAGGAGATAATCCAGAGCTGGAAGGATCAGTGAGGAGCAGGGAGCTGAAGTTTGCACAACTGGTTAATGCCAGGGGCTAAAATGAACTCAGAGCTGTTTTCCTGCTGAGTAACTCCACAAATAATTCCTAGAAATCAGAGGTGCCAGGCCTGGAGCACAGCAAGGAAGGGCTGATCACCTCTGTCTTGCTCATCAAATTCTTGTTTTCTTTTAATATCCTGCGTGAATTCTGCTCCTCCCCTTGCACAGATTACAAAAACAACATCCTGAAGGAGAGGGCTGAGCAAGCCAGAAGCTTCCCAGCAAAGAACATTGATTTAGACAAAGGTAATCATCACTTTCTTCCCTTTAATTGGTGGCTGTTCCGATGGGAACAGTCCGTCAGTGAGTGACCAAGCCACAGCCAAAAAGGAATGAGAAACCTCATGGCAAAAGCAGGAATGAGAAGCCAGCTGCATTGCCATCCTTTCATCATGGGGCCACAAGATGCAAGCAGTGATTTGCCTTTTAAAAGCTTTGGGCATGGCACAAATTGGAATTTTTCTTGATTTCCACGAGATGCAAGCAGTGATTTGGTTTTTAAAAGCTTTGGGCATGGCACAAATTGGAATTTTTCTTGATTTCCACGAGATGCAAGCAGTGATTTGGCTTTTAAAAGCTTTGGGCACGGCACAAATTGGAATTTTTCTTGATTGGAAAAAGAAAGCTTGGCAGGGCTGGAGCAGCGCCTGCTCTGCTGTGACCTCAGAGGGAGCCCAAAAATGTCCTGGCTTGGTGTTTGGGCAGAAAACACAGTGCAGAGGGAGAGTGTTTGGAGTGGAATTAATTTCTGGGTAATCTCAGTTACTTCATCCAAGAAAAGCAAAGGTCTCTCCCTGCCTGGGGCTGGATCTCCTCCTGCTGCTCCAGGATTAATCCCCAGGGCTGTGCCCTGTGTTTGTAGGACAGCTCCTGTCATCAGCTCTGGGATTCCATTACTCACTCCAGGGGAATGAGGATTTAATAAAAGGGGCTGAAATGACACCAAGCAGGGGATGGAGAGCCCAGGAGCTCTCCCTGATGGAATTCTCCTCGAATTTTCTCCTGCAGGGTGGGTCTGGGCAATAATTTACCCCCAGTCTCTCTCGCTGGGGGAGCTTTTTGATATCAGGGATGTGGGTGACTGCAAATGCTCGGCCTAGAAATAAATCCGTATTTTTGTGCTTCTTTGAATTGTTTGAAATCTCTCTCGAGGTGCTGACCCCCTTTTCCATTTGCTTTCAGATTTCAGGAAGGAATATTGTAAATGAAGACACTCCCAAGCTGCTGGCTGGTCCAGAAGCTTCCATCCAAGATAGATAACATGGAAAAGAGATGGTTTTTCTTATTTCCATCTCCCTCCAGTTCCCACAGAATTTTTTCCACATCCACTTTTTTTTTTTTTCCCCCACACAAGGGTGCAAATGCTTCATGAAAGAGTTAAACTGTCTTGTGTGCATTTATGGGGTTGCCTTTTCTTCTTCCTCTGTTCTCCCAATCCTCCCTCCTTCCCCTTTTCTTTCTTGACAATTATTGTTGGATTTTATGCATCAATGATTTTTATGAGCTGAATCAGCAGAGGTTTTGCTTTGATGTTTCAATGACACAAATCCTATAGCATTTCCACAGGATTCTGTGCTTGAATGGAATTTATCTGTCTGTCCTGTATTTATTAAAGCAGCTGTCATATTCCAGCCTCCCCCTCCTCGTCGCACGGTTTGTGTGCGGGGATGTGGCGGACGAATCGTGACACAAAGCAGTCCCACTCGGTGCTAGGGTTGCGGAGGGCGAAAACGCGGAGGCACACCAGGTGTGGCTGGTGCAGAGTGCCACCCTGTGGCGGGATCTCTCGGTGATGCGGCGAGAGAGGTCCGGCAGAGGGGGAGACGCGGAAGGATACATGCAAGGCGCTGCAGTGCTCGCCCGCTCTGGTGCCGTGTATCGACCCGGTGGCGGCGGAAGCGGCGTGCCCCGGCACAGGGATGCCGGCGGTGGCCAGACAGCGGCACGCAGCGGCTCGGAACCGGGACCGGGCTGTCCCGGTCAGCTGCGGCCAGAGCAGTGGGGGGTGGCGGCGGGGCCGTGGAGATAGAACTGCGCATGGGTGCGGCTGATCCCGGAAGCAGCGCTGTGGTTGGATGAGGCGGCGCGGAGTGATATCGCTGGTGCGGGGGGCTTCCGGAGCGTGGGGGGCTTCCGGAGCGTGGGGGGTGCCGGTGGCGGAGCTGCGGAAACGGGAGCCGGGGCTGCGGCAACGGGAGCCGGGGCTGCGGCCGCGGGCGTGGAGCGGAACGCCGGGACGGCCGCGGTCGCAGGAGGCGGGCAGCTGTGAAGCGGGGGGCCGCGGGGGGGAAGGCGCGGCTCGGCCCGCCATGGAGCGGCGGCGGCAGGAGCGAGAATGCGACCACGGGCGGCGGCGGGGCAGCCTCGTCAGCGGGAGATGATCCCGGGGCGGCGGGAGGCGGGAGATGATCCCGGGGCGGCGGGAGGAGCAGCGTGGAGGCGGCGGGATTCTGCTGGGGGGGGTTTGTCGGCGGCTGGACTGCGGCGTGCAGCCGCTGGGAGCCGGGGTCCCCGCTGGCCCGGCGGGCAGGGGCGGCGCTGAGGGGACGCTGCGCTGGAGCGGCGCGGCGCCGGCACGGGGCGGCTGGGGCGCCCCGGTGCCAGCGCAAGCGGTGCCGTGCCGGGACCGGGGGATCGCGCCCAAACGCCGGCAGGGGCGGGGCCAGCGTGGGCGTCTGAGCTGCGGCGGGACCCGTGGGCAGCTCGGGGCGTGCGGCGCGCGCTTGAACGGCGCGGGGGGGGGGGGGGGGGGGGGGGCAGAGCTTCCCGCGGCAACGCGCACAGGGGGCGCCGCGGACGCCGCGCGGCCGCGCCAGGCGCGCACGGCACTGCAGAGCCGGGAGCGGCAGGGAACTGCAAAGCCGCGGCAGCAGCGGCGGGACTTGGGCCAGCACCGGCCCCGCTGTGTCGGTAAAGGGGGCGAGGGGGACCTGGGGGGGCGGCAGGAGCGGCCGCACTCGCGGATAACGGGGGGGAAGCGGCGGAATCGGAGGGGGCGGGGCCGCGGTAACGCTGGTGGGCGGGCCCGTAAAAGCGGAGTTGAGGGACGGCGCCCGCGGTACCGGGGACGGCAGGGACCAACGGGATGGCAAAGGCGGGGCTGGCGGGAGCGGCGGGAAGCGCCGGGGGGGGGCGGGTGTCGGGACCGCGAGAGCAGGGGGCGGGGCGGCAGGGGCAGACAGGACTGCGGGGTCCGACGGGGAGGTGAGGGGCGGGTCCCGCTGGAGACACGCGGCGGCAAGGGGCGGGCCCGCAGGAGGGGCGGGGCGACTGCTGCGGGCACCCCCCATGCGGCAAACACAGCTCAAAGCAGCGCCCTGCAAGCTGGGGCCAGCCCTCCGGCAGTCATGGCCCGGCGGGAAATACTATTAAAAAGTGCTTAAAACACCTGTGTCCGAAATTTCTGGGAAAAACGGCTGAACGGCAGTTTTGCGACAGTCGTTCTTTACGGCAGTTTTACGACAGTCGTGCTTTACGGCACCTCTTACGACAGTCTGCGGCAGTCGTGCTTTACGGCACCTTTTACGACAGTCGCGCTTTGCGGCACCTTTTACGACAGTCGCGCTTTACGGCACCTTTTACGACAGTGTTGCTTTACGGCACCTTTTACGACAGTTTGCGGCAGTCGTGCTTTACGGCACCTTTTACGACAGTCGCGCTTTACGGCACCTTTTACGACAGTGTTGCTTTACGGCACCTTTTACGACAGTTTGCGGCAGTCGTGCTTTACGGCACCTTTTACGACAGTGTTGCTTTACGGCACCTTTTACGACAGTGTTGCTTTACGGCACCTTTTACGACAGTCGCGCTTTACGGCACCTTTTACGACAGTGTTGCTTTACGGCACCTTTTACGACAGTGTTGCTTTACGGCACCTTTTACGACAGTCGCGCTTTACGGCACCTTTTACGACAGTCGCGCTTTACGGCACCTTTTACGACAGTCGGGCTTTACGGCACCTTTTACGACAGTGTCGCTTTACGGCACCTTTTACGACAGTCTTGCTTTACGGCATCTTTTACGACAGTGTCGCTTTACGGCACCTTTTACGACAGTCTTGCTTTACGGCATCTTTTACGACAGTGTCGCTTTACGGCACCCTTTACGACAGTCGCGCTTTACGGCACCTTTTACGACAGTCGCGCTTTACGACACCTTTTACGACAGTCGCGCTTTACGGCACCTTTTACGACACTTTGCGGCAGTCGTGCTTTACGGCACCTTTTACGACAGTCCCACTTTTACGGCATTTTTACGTCAGTCCCGCTTTACGGCACTACGCTTTATGGAATTTTTACGGTATTTTACAGCACTTTACAGTTTTCATTTTCTTTTTTTTTTAATTAATTTTTTTAAATTTAATTTTTTTATTTTTAATTTTTCTCTTATTACGGTTTTTTTTTAATTTTTTCAATTTAACATTTTTAATCTATTTTTAAAAGCTTTTCATTTTATTTTTAATTTTATTTTTATTTACTTTTTTAAAAATTATTTTTAAAGTTTTTTATTTAATTTTTTAAATTTTATTTTTATTTAATCTTTATTTTTAATTTTTCCTTTTTTTTAAGTTTTTTATTTTATTTTTTCATTTTATTTTTTATTTAATTTTTCTTTTTAATTATTCTATTTTTAAAGTTTTTTATTATATTTTACTAATTTTATTTTTTATTTAATTTTTATTTTCAATTTTTTATATTTTTAAAGCTTTTTATTATATTTTTCTAATTTTATTTTTTAATTTTTCTTTTTAATTATTCAATTTTTAAAGCTTTTTATTTTATTTTTAACATTATTTTTCATTTAATTTTTTAAAATTATTCTATTTTTAAAGTTTTTTGATTTTTTTAATTTTATTTTTTTAATTTTATTTTTTTTAATTTTTATTTTTTATTATTCTCATTTAACATTTTTTTAAATTTTTAAATTTTTTTTAATTTTTATTTTTAATTTTTATATTTTTAAAGCTTTTTATTTTATTTTTTTAATTTTATTTTTTATTTAATTTTTCTTTTTAATTGTTCTATTTTTAAAGCTTTTTATTTAATTATTTAATTTTATTTTTCATTTAATTTTTAGTCTTTTTTATTCTATTTTTAAAGCTTTTTATTTTATTTTTTAACATTATTTTTCATTTAATTTTTTAAAATTATTCTATTTTTAAAGTTTATTTGATTTTTTAAATTTTATTTTTTATTTAATTTTTATTTTTTATTATGCTATTTTAACATTTTTTTTAATTTTTAAAATTTTTATTTTAAATTTTTTATATTTTTTAATTTTTTATTTTATTTTTCTAATTTATTTTTTATTTATTTTTTATTTTTAATTATTTTATTTTTAAAGCTTTTTATTTATTTTTTAATTTTATTTTTTATTTAATTTTTAGTTTTATTTATTCTATTTTTAAAGCTTTTTATTCAATTTTTTAACATTATTTTTAATTTAATTTTGTAAAATTATTCTATTTTTAAAGTTTTTTAATTTTATTTTTTATTTAATTTTTTTTTATTATTCTATTTTAACATTGTTTTAACATTTTTTTTAAGTTTTTATTTAATTTTTATTTTTAATTGTTCGATTTTTAAAGCTTTTTTATTTTATTTTTTAATTTTATTTTTTATTTAATTTTCATTTTTAATTATTCTATTTTCAAAGCTTTTATTTTATTTTTTAATTTTATTTTTTGTATATAACTTTGTTTTAATTATTCCATTTTTTAAGCTTTTTATTTTATTTTTTAATATTATTTTCATTTAATTTTTTAAAATTATTTTATTTTTCAAGCATTTTAATTTATTTTTTAATTTTATTTTTTATTCAATTTTTATTTTTAATTTTTCTTTTTTAAGTTTTGTATTTAATTTTTTTAATTTTATTTTTTATTTAATTTTTAAAAAAATTATTCTAATTTTAAATTTTTTATTTAATTTTTTAAATTTTATTTTTTATTTAATTTTTATTTTAATTTTTCGATTTTTAAAGCTTTTTTTTTTTTTTTTTATTTGGTGATGCCCAGACCAACTCAAGCTGGTGATTGTGGTGGTGTTTGAGGGTCTTGCATTACGGCACTACCTTTTATGGAACTTTTATGGCACTTTACAGCACTTAACAGTTTTTATTTTCTCGTTCCTTTATTTTAAATTAATTTTGTTATTTTAATTTTATTTAATTTTTATTTTTTATTATTCTATTTTTAAAGCATTTTATTTTATTTTATTTGGTGCTGCCCAAACCTGCTGTAGTGCAATTTTATACTTTGTAATACTTTGAAGTAATTCTGTTTTGTATCCCCATATTTTTCCCAAATGGTTTATCCCAAACTGTACCCCCCTCCGTTAACCTGTGGTTTCTCTTTCCAGGGATGAGATCATCCCCAAACCCCCACCCTGGCTCTCTGTCAATCACTCAGATCCCACCCCCTCCATGCAGAAGTTTTGGTCCAAGTCATCGAGTGATTGTCCAGAGGCCAGGGGTCAGCCCCCCAAGCCTTGCCCCATACGCTGTCCTAAATGTCCATCCCCCAGTGCCCATCCCTTAGGGTCACTTAATGGTTGGTAGGGTGTTCTCTACTGTCGGTTTCCACCTCCCTTTAAATGTAACCTTGGCACATCACCCTGGGGCTCTCGGCAGGAGGGTCCCTGAGGTGCAGGAGCTCCTTTGGGACTCCTAATAAAACCTTGGATTAACCCCTGCTAAGAGTCGGCCCTTTCTCTTCTGCACCTTGTTTTATTGCTACAGGAAACCCAGCAAACAACACTCATCCACCATGCACACTGCCTTCACACACTCACCGTCACTCTCATTGCAACTGCTCCGTGACACCCCTGGCCATCATTGCAGCCTCGAAAAAATCCTCCTGCCTGACTGTCCCATGGACGGGACTGAACCCCAGTCCCGGGACGGTCTGCACCCAAACTTTGGTGATGAATGTCGCCTCGCAGACTGACCGGGACCGAGGGGGATAAAAAAACAGCTGGGGAGGGAGGTGGAATCCTGGCTGGGGATTTTTTATTCTAAATTTAAAAATGAGTTGAAAAACCTGAAAGGCAAAAGTCACACACACAAGGCTAAAATCGGTCAGCATACACTCAGACGTGCAGAGACAAGCGGATGCAGACAGACACAGACAGTCTGTCTCATGCTCTCACACATACTCACACACTCTTCAGTTTACACACTCACTGCAGTCCTTACTTGAGACACTGAAGAACGTGCTTCAACACATCTTCTGGCTGCTGCTCCTTGATGTCAAATGGTAGATTCCAGGAAATTCGGTATCCTTGGGGACCTGTGAGACAGGAGGCAGTCAGCAAGTGGCTATCTGACAGCTAGGACTTGTCCCCACTCTGGGCCCATAAATTTTCTACCCAAAATCCCATAGAAGACAGATGAACAGTAAAGTTTTTATATCTGTTCTACCTAACTGTGACTACGTGCCAGGGCAGGGCAGCTCCGCTCATAAGTGGCACAATGTAAGTACCACAATATAAGCCAACACAGGTACATATAGTATAAGCACACACTGTAAGCCAACATAATTACATGCAATATAAGTACATAAAATATAAGCCAACATAATTACATGCAATATAAGCCAATATAGGTACATACAATATAAGCCAACATTTGAGGAAATAACATAAAAAATAAGGGGTACCCATTGCAAGCATATGTATAAGCTGTCTTTATTTAAAAATCCACTTTAATGGACATTTTGTGGAACCACTCTGAGGGCAAGGTCCAAAAAGCTTCGTTAACCCCTTGTCTTCCACTGGTCGGGCAGCATCTGACCCCAATGCTCAAGGGCTGCATGGAGATTCCTCCCTGGAGTGGGCTCACCCCTTGAGGATGAGCCACAAAGATTTGATTGTTGGACGGGGTGAGTAACTATTTCTACTTAGCAATTGTTTTTGCTGGCTTTAATGCCATGGCTGCAGTGTTCCTTCAGATGTCGTGCCCTGCTCCAGCAGTTACAGCTCCTGTGCTGGGCAGGGAATGCTTCTGGGGAAGGGCTTTCAGTGTCATTAGTTCCCATTTAAATCAATCAAGCTATATCTAAGTGCTGGTGGCCAAAGGTTTTACCACTTGCCTCTGATTCATCCGGCGTTGGCCGGAGGTTTGTGGGAGCCAGTGGATTGTTCTACTCCTCATTATTTCCCAAACAGAATTTGGCTAAGTAGAAGAGGCACAGATGATGCCTGCAATTTTGTGACATGAAGAAACAGCCTGTCACTGGAGAGTCCCAGACCTTTGCTTCCTCAGCCTCTGCAGGTCTGGCACATGGAAAGCCCAGAGGCACTGAAGTATCCCGCTCAAGCAGCCAAATGTTAACAACCTCTCCAAAGCCTAATTTCCCTTTGATATAGACTTAATTGTTTGCGTCACCTGCTGGGCTGGGGGAGGGCTATAAAATGGCTTGCAACAATTGTCTGAGGCAGAAGAGAGTCCAGGAACAGCTCCCTCTACCAGTGTTCCTATCTCAGCACTGGTGACAACCTGAGCATCATGCAGCTGGTGGCCAGCCTGCTGTCTGTGCTGCTGCTGGTGTGGAGTGTGAGAGCCACGACGCTGCCCGGGGAAGAGAGACTGCAGAGCACCAGGGTGAGTACAGCATGCCCTGGGTAGGAGCAGGATAGAGGCAAGGAAAGGGACATAAGGGCAAGTAGGCTGTACCTGATGCAACCCTTCCATCCCTCTATACTCCAAGGCATTACAGTTTGACGTGCTGCAAAGCCATGGGCTGTTACTATGGCTTGCTGGCCAGCTGATTTAGGAGAGGTACCAGGACAGATGCCAGAGAGCTGGAATATGTGAAGTCTGAGCTAAGTGAAAACTGGCACAAAGGAGATCAGAGGGAAAAGGAGAAAACATTATTGAAAGGGTACAGTGTGAGAGAATAAAGCAAAGTACTAGGGAGGGCAAGAAAAGATATATAATTGATAATATGATCAAGGGAGGTGATATTTTAAATAGAATTTGTGGGAAGGACAAACGTTTAAAAGATAGGAAAGTAACAGAGAAATCATAAATGAAGAAATTGCATCAAAATAAAATTGTGTTTTCTAGAGTAGTATTCACAGGAGGCTCTGAGATGCAGCAGGGGAATGAGAAGGGGCCCCGTGGGGCACATTTGCATGCTCTGAATCTCGACAGCCATGGGGGACAAGCCTTCCATCCCTCACCTTGCCTGCTCTTTGCCTGCAGGAACGGAGTACAGTCCACAAGGACGTCATTCTGAAGATGCTGGCAGGGCTGCTGGACGGCGTGGATGTGGGCAGTGAGGCAGCCTTCCCGGGTGTGCAGGAGGAGGGCAAGCTGGAGGAGGACGGGGCAGCGCTGGGGCGGCTTGCGCAGCTCCCGCAGCGAGACCGCAAGGCGCCCTGCAAGAATTTCTTCTGGAAAACCTTCACCTCCTGCTAGTGCTGCCCAGCCTGGCCCTGCCAGCCTGCAAACACCTTCCCACAACTCATCTTCCTCGTCCACCTAGCTCCTTCTCTGTGCCCTGCACCCCTCAGAATAAAGCATAGCGCCTCGGGGACGTGTCTGTGCTTCTCTGCGGGGCAGCCGTGGTTGGGGGGGACGGGGTGCATGCATTGTCTGGAGCAGCCGTGGGGGACCATGGCCATTTTGGGAAAGGGTTTGCAGGTGTGAGGGGAGCCATGTGGAGGAGGCACAGCTGCCTCTAAAGCTGCTGCAGCTGCCTCCTCAGCCTTTGAGGGACCAGCTGGGTGTGCACTGAGGTGTTGGGCAGCTGGGGCTGTGCCTCATGGGGAGGATCCTCAGTGTCAGCCCCTGGTCAGGATAAGGTGCCATGCCTTGTCTCTGGACATGGGAGAGAGCAGCACCCCATGCTCCTTCCCACGCTGGCTTAGTGAAGCACCCAGGCAGTGCTGTACAGATGTGGGGTGCAGGAGCAGCATCTGGGGAGAGGGAGACATGCCCAGAGCTTGACCTACTTTTGGTTTGCCAGCAGGTAATTCCAGAGAAGCTCCTGGGATGCTTTTGGGCTGCATCTAAAACCTAAATAATTATATAAATTGGCCATAATCCAGGGTGGAACAGCTGTGACTCTGCTCTGGTTCACTCATGGTTTCTTGGTGTCTTCTCAACTTGCTTTAACGAGCCCAAAACCAAAACACCTGGGTTTTCTTACCTACCCTCTTGGGTGCCATTTGCTGCCTGGAGAGTAGCAGAGCATGTAGTTTTATTTCTTTGGGATTATTGAGGAGATTTTTGAACTGTTTATTTTTAGAATTAACAGGTAGTAAAAAGATATGGACAGTAGACATGTCTGAGCTCACAGCTATTTCCCTCTGAAGAAGGCTGCTGAATCTCTCATCCTGGCAAAACAAAAAGGTATGAAATTTAGTCACTCTTTTGCTTCAAGTTCAACTAGGAACTTGAATTTCAGAGCTGTACTACGCTGCTGTGAATGGCTGTACAAAATAGGAGGCTTCAACTGTATCTCACTGATGCTGTCCCCAGACCTGATGAGAACTGAGGGTAGCTATTTTTAATGGCTTCATTTTGAGCCTTTACATTTTTCTTTTGGAGGTCGGTGACCAGGAGGTCACTACTGTCAGCAGCAGGATTTTGGATTAAATCAGTAAGCCAGCCAGTTTTGTGGCAGTTGAGGTAATGGTGAAGAAATTGTGCAGTGAAAACAAGAAACTCCCGAGTACGTGGGTGTAGGGATTGCCCCAGACAGAGCCTGCCGGTTCAGCAGATTGTGAGCTGGATTATTTAGTGGTTCCCACAGGAGAGAGGAATCTGGCTGCTCTCGAGGCTGGAAGTTAATTTGAAAGTTGAGCTGCTCTCTCATCGCCACAGATGGCCCCTGCTACCATAGGCTGAGGCACTGGCTGAGCACCAAGGGGAAGTGTGAGTTGCCAGTGCACCTGCAGTGGAGAGGGGCCAGCACCATGGGGATGGCTTCTTTTATCAGCTCTGAAATCAGTGTTTGAGTCGGATATTTCTGTGCAGTTTCCTTGGTAAGTCAATGTGCTGAGACTGAAGTGATGTGAGGTCCTGCCTGATGGTAGCATTTAGTGAGTGTGTCAGGATAAATCAGATTCAGTGTGAGTGACTTATTCTCCATTTTTCACAAAAAAATTGAATTTTCACAAAAGAATTGTGAGACTTATAATGGAATTTGACAAGTTAGAAGGGAGTGAGAGCCTGCTATTTCCTTTTTAGATGCAGTAGCCAATGCACTTTTGAGTCTTGTCTCTGCTCAGAATAATGTGTCTTGCTCTTTGAGCCAGAGCAAATTCCCATAAGTTATCTCTGGGTTTTTTAAAAAGTGAAAAAGATTTAAAAGTATGCCAGAAGGCACAGAAAGATCATAGAAAGTCTCAGAGGAAGCATTTGGAAGGTGAAGGAAATATCAACAATTCAAATACACATCTTCCACCTCCCCAGAGTGTCCTAGTCCTGAGCAGTTGGCTGGGATGGATGATGGTTGTTGTCCAGCAGTCCCTCAGTGCTCAGGGGAATGAGCTGTGACAGAGGAGGGAGCACACTATTTCTCTAGGCTCAGGGCATTCAGCTGGGAATGAGGAATTTCTGATCTAGCAGTACACTGGGGACTTGCAGAACTCTTGTTTTTAAGCAATTAATGGTTAGTGTAAAACAAAAAAAATAAATTACAAGCAATCTTTACAGCTGAGACCTTGTTGAATTGGGTTTGAGGTCAGGCCTTCTTCCTAATGTAAGACCTCTAGTTAGGAAAGGTTGCTTTTAAAAATGTTTTACTGGGGCTGTGCTTGGCTGGTGTCTTTTAGTCTCTTCTTGAAAGAGGGGAAGAAGCCAATGACTTATGATTGTGAAAAGCTTCCCACTCCTGGCTTGTACATTCCAGAAATTATCCAGGAGACATTTGGTCACTGAGATGGTGGCTTTAGAATCCATCACTTTAGACACATGGTACATTTGGTCACTGTTGGTCCTCAGATCTGGTTGGTTTCACTATGACTTTGTTTATATGTTTGAATAAAAGGAGATTGTCCAGCTAGCACTGGGTGTACTGGTCTGCATTAGTTAGTGGACTTAGCATGGGCAGAGCTTAGTTAATAGAGAAAGGGACAGCATTTCTGTGATAATGTTTCATACAGGGATTTTAAGCCTCCCAGTTGGGATTAGGCTCCGTGCAGGGACTCCCCCGCTCAGAGTGAAACTCACAGGTCAGGACACGTCTCCTTTCTTGAGAGCTCTGCCTTTGTCCTTGGCCATGTGCTGCTAAATCCAGCCAGAGCCCAATCAGTCCCATGGTGAGAGGTGGCTTCCTTGCCAGAAGCTTGGGTGCAGGTGTACAGACAGGGAGCTGCAGCTGCCTAAGCAGCCATGGGTTTGTGAGCTTGAGGAGCCCAGAGCCATGGGGAGCAAACTGCAGCCTTTGTGCTCTAAAATGCTGGCTTGCAAACAGTGCTCATCTTCAGCTGTGAACTGATGAATTTACCCACTGCTGGGAGCCAGCAGGCTCTAAAGTGCCTTGTGATTGCTCTTCCAAAAGCATAACTGAGCCCTGCCCAGTGCTGGAAGGCAGCTGGCCATTCCATGGGACAGAGAGGGCTGGAAGCAGAATGGCTGGGAAGAAACAGCACTGGTGATCTTCTGCTCCATTCCACAATAAAAATTGTATTTTATTTATGTTGCAAAACTGTCTAAACAGTGTGTGACGTGGATGAAGTCCACTCCGCCTTTGCACTAGTTTAGTCCTGTGACGGAAGGGAAATTGTGGGCAGGAAGAGCATCTGTGGGTCCTGGTTAGCTATGAGTGCTCTCAAAATGCTTGTGCACCAGGTGAGCTAATCCCCAGCAGTATTTTGGGGGTGAAAGGCTTCTGGTAGAAGAAACAGGGACAGTGTTTTTAGCCTTGTTTATATCAGGTGCTTCTCCTCATGCCTGAGGAAAGCCAATGTGTGCCCCAAGTGTTCAGTTTCTCAGGCTCCAGCATAACAGTTCATGGAGTCAGCAGTCCTGTTTCAATGTTTGGCAGCCTCAGGGCATTCAGCAGATTCTGGGCTGTGAGAAACTTTTCAGACCTAAGATCAGAATTGACTTTCCATTCCTCTGCTACTGATGTGAGCAGGAAGCCTGAAGTGGAATTCTTCTGGAAGTGTTTATGCCTATGGGAATCAGGCAACAGCTCAGTCAGGCATGGATTGATTTTTTTTCCAAAATTTTCTCTCTTCCCCGTTTTCCAGATAGTATAAAGTCCACATCTATCTTGATGATAGGATGATTTTAGCAGCTAGTGGGCCATGGGAAAAGTCAATGCCCTCTTGGTTCTTGTCTGTTAGCTGTGCTTGTAGGTATTGATGCTACACAATTATCACTATTTATTATGCTAGTATTTTCTCCTTCACTTCTATTAAATGGTGTTTTCTGCTTGCAGTTTGCTGAATGGTTTGTTGGCCTTAGTTTTGTTCATATAATAACTCCTGCTTTCCTGCCAGCACCAGCTTCTGTGCCCGGGGTAATGACTGTTGGCTGTTGAAAAGGTTTCCATTAGATTACAGGATATCTCGGGCTAAATTTCCTGCATGTGCAATCCAACAGTCTGTTCCCTGCTGCAGATCAGTTTTCCAATTCTGTCCATTTTCATCAGAGAAGAGATGGACCTAGGCTCAGCTTTAATATATCTGGGTTTTCACCCTCTATGTATTAGGCCTATTTCCATGTGTGCTGGAGTAGGAGTTTTGTGGGAAACCTAAATGCTGATTTGGAAAGGAGCAGTCTACATGCAGGAGACTTAATGAAGCTTTATGTCCCATAGTGTTTGTTCTCCCAGTTGAATTCCCTGGGCAGTGTGAAACCCCTGTGTAGATCCACAAATGTTTAAAAGAAATTTGAATTATTTTTTTAAGTGTGACTTTTTACTTATGGGCGTTCCAGGATGGGCAGGATAAAAAGTAATCCATGCTTATGAAGAAGGCATGGAGTAGATTTTGGTCACCACAAGCGTGCACTGGATTAAAACCTGCAGCTGAGAACAGGAAGAATTTACATCTTTGAAACTGGTGCCTGTGTGTTCTGCAGTGTTATGTCCCTGCAGTATTTCTGTCCTGTTATGAAGAACCATACAACCAGACGCATCACTACTCTAAAATCCTGTAAAAATCCCATTATTTTGTTTTCAACACCTCTGTGCTCTGGTGAGATGCTTGCATTGTAGTAAATGGGGAGCAGTTGTTCAGAGGGAAAGAGCATTGCCAGCTCCCCTTGCTCACCGGGCAGACACTGTGTGGAGCCACCTCCTCCCTCTGCCTGCCTTCCCACGGAGCAGTGATATTATGGCTCCCTCCAAGAGCCTGCAGCATTCCTGATCCATCCTCTCCATCCCTGCCTCTCTCTCCCTGTCACTGACCGAAGCCTGAGCACAAGCCTGGTTTTTAGTGATTGCTGTTCCCAGAACTCAGCAGGCTGAAGGGGGTGGAAGGGGGATAAACATAAGGGTTCAACATCCAGGCAAACACAGCAGAGCACACACAATAAATACGTCCGCCCCCAAATGCAAACACACAAGGAGGGATTCCTTCCCCGAGGCTCACAGCAGAACAGGCTCAGACAGGAAGGCATCAAAATGAGGTGAGTGCCATCACCTCCAGCTCCTCTGGCCACTTGATTTTGTGCATTTTCACGTCTGTTTCAGGTGCATTTTGTGATCTTCACGTCTAGAAGGCGTGAGCATGAGGCTCATCCTGTTTAGCTGTTGCTACAGTGACTCCACTGATACCTCCCAATTGCTTTCCTTGTCAAGTGCAGAGGGTGTTGGGCATGAAGGTTTCAGCTAGAACTGAGTGACCTGGTTTGGTATCTGCACGGGCAATGAGGGTGTGTGTGGCTTTTGGGGTATGATCCAAGATAATGCTCACTCCTTCTTAGGTAATTTCTTGTCCCTTTGACACAGGCTGTTTATTTTGCTGGCTGTGCTCTATAGTGGAGTAAGGAGCAGCATTGTGCCACAAAAAATGTATGGAAGGATCACATCCCCAAACTTCCCAAAGGTCTACCCGAATCACAAGGAGAAAACATGGAATATTACTGTCCCCAAAGGATATTCTGTTCGCATTTACTTCACCCATTTCGACCTGGAGTTGTCCTACCTGTGTGAATATGATTATGTGAAGGTATGTGTGGGATGGGGTAACATGTAGCAGGTGCAGCTGTTAAAAACTCTGTTCATGTGATGCTGGGCACATGCAGAATCAACATAACTCTTTGTCAGCTCTTGATTTTAGTCTGCTTATAAAGTTCAGGCTCAGCTGGTTTCTAAATTATGTGTTTATTGAGGCCCACGGGACTAGGAAGCAGATGTGGTTGTCACATTGGAACATCTGAAAAGTGAGATGCTTTTGCTCAGAAAATTCAATGATCTGTGCTCACCTGCTGGATTTTTCTGTCTGTTTTGCAGCTGAGCTCCGGTGGGAAGACCTTGGCTACACTGTGTGGAAGGGGCAGTACAGACACTGAGGAGGCTCCGGGTAACAGGACGTACATCTCCGCTGATAACCACCTCGTGGTGGTGTTTCGGTCCGATTACTCCAATGAGAAACCATTCACAGGCTTTGAGGCCTTTTATGCTGCTGAAGGTGAGAGTCTGGCCCCTCTTGTAGATGGAAGAGCCACGGCTGCTGTGGGGTTGGCCCTTCCCTGAGCTCTCATAGCCTGAGGCTGCTGGTGTGGGGCAGGAGAAGGTGGCCTCATGGTACAGAAGCAGATGCAGAGGGGCACAGAGACCAAAGGCCAACCTCACAAAACACAGAGTGGCTGAGACTGAGAGAACATTGTGCTGAAATCTATTGTCTGCCTGATTCTGTGCTTTGCCCATTAGATATCGATGAGTGCAAACAGCCATTGGATACTAAACCCCTCTGCAGTCATCACTGTCACAACTACGTGGGGGGCTACTATTGCAGCTGCAGGGTTGGCTACAAACTGCATGAAAACAAGAGGACATGCACAGGTGAGCTCTTTCTAGATCAGGAGATGCTCCCCTATCTACAACATCCACTTAAATCCAGTCCTGACAATAATGTCAAGGTGAAAGCTGTGGGGTTTGGTTTTCATTTTTAGTATTCCCTGTGTGCCTGGTGCAGCTGGGAGGAGGTTCACAGAGTTAGTCAGGGCTGTGAGCAGAGGCCCTGCTTTGCAGAGAGGCTGTGGCTGCTGTTGCAATTTTCTGTCATAGTAAACTGCTGTACTGGCACTTGGTTTTTGCTACTCCTTTCCACCTCTGTTCAGCTTTAAGTGAGTGTTGAATGGAAAATCAAGAAATGTCTACATTTCCCACCACAGATATTTCCACAGAAAAGTCTTCATGGGTGCCAGTGAAGCCACTCTTGCAAAACTGAGTGTATCTTGCTCCCTGGGTACCGAGATCCCAGGTATTCTGGACCCAAGTTAGTAGATATGTTGGGAAAACTATCAATTGAGTTGTGAAGTCTAATGAAGAAATAATTAGATTGCGGTCCTGTAAGGACACAGGCCAAGAAGGAGCCTGTGGAAGAGGAAGATGGTTCAGGTATCACTGATACCAGCCACCATAACCCAGGCATTAAATGGCCAGGCATGAATCTCTTCTTCAGAAGGGCTGACAGTCTGAACTGTGGGGCAGAGCCAGGTCTATCTCACTGGCTACTGCCTGGCTCTGCCCACAGTTCATAACCAGGGAAAGCTTCTGTGGTGTCAGGTAACAAAGTGTTGGGATCATCATGGTGATCAGCACCTTGGGATTCCTTTGCAGTGAAACCCATGCCCACATGGGGTACAAGGTTCACTCCTCATGGGTGCAGCTTTGCCAGCAGGAGCTAAATCCTGTCTGGAAAAAAATCAACACACACACTGCCTATAAATACTGTCATAGGTGAAAGATAGTTTCTTTGAGCTCCCCCATGCTGAAATGCAAAGCTGGATCTACCTTCCAGTGCTTAAGGCTGCCTTAGCATTTGCCTTCCCAATAGCAGCCTGTTACAAACTCTCTCCATCCATGGCTGCCTGGGTCTGATTCAAGATTCAAATTCCTCATGTCTCCAGAGTATTGGAACAGACATGTTCATTCAACCTGCCCTTCCTAAAGTGATGCCTTTTAGCACAAGCATATGGATTTGTTGATGCTGTAAAGCCTTAATGTGAAGGTGCAAAACAGAAAGCTGTGAATGAGCAGAGGAGCAGTTCTGCATTAACCATTTGTGTGTGTACATTTATACCCTCCTCCTTGAAAAGATCTCTTGTTGTGTTGCACTGAGGTTCTAGCAGAGGGAGCTTCTCAGCAATAGTGATGGGCTGAGTTAGTTTGACAGTGAAGACATTGGAAATTGCTGTGATGCAGCTGATGTGCCAAAGGTCTCTGCAGATCTTCTTCATGAGTTGAGGGCAAAAGCTGCCCCTGTGTCTTTTGGACTCCTGTTGAAGCTGGCTGATATTGACAGGCTCTCTTTTTCCTCTGTTTTCCAGAAGATATTTAAGCTTCTCACTTAGGCAGAGATGGAGACAGATGTGCTGGGAAGACCTGGTTGGAAAGTCCAGGAAGGAAACCTGCTGCAGTCTGCCCAAGGGCTGAAGGCTTCTCTTGCTCCATGACTTGTCCCTGTGGTTCCTTGCCTTTCAGACTTGCCTGCTGCAGTAAATAAAGAGGCTGTTGCCTGTTGGAAGCCAAATGCAGCCTCTGGGACATTAATTTTCTGATGTTCCCATGTGTCACTTGGGAAAAAAGAAGGTAGATCAGACAGGAACTGGTAAGAGACAAGCCATTGTGAAAGGCCCCTGAGCATCACAGCTACCTGAAGAGTCTTGAATTTCTTATCTGGCTCTTGTTGCTTAACCTTACATAGTTCTTAAACTGCAGGAAGAGCAGAACGACATCACACCTTTGTTTCCTAATGCTCCTTTTAGATATGCTCTTAAGAGAACTCCAGCATTCCAGCTGATCATTACAGACCAGCTTGGATCCAGACATACGATTTTATTTTTATGGAACAATTTTCCTAACTTGTCAAGAGTTTAAAGTTATACGTGGAGGCAGCAGATGCCCCGGGCTGATCCCGTGAGCGCAGCCAGGCTGCGCGCAGGTCACCGCTCCCCTTTGGCGTGAGAACGCTATCAGGAGCCAGCGGCGGTTTTTGCTTCGATTCTCAGCAATTGAAGATTGCGTCCGCGCGAGTGAAACACGCAGAGGAATCGCGTGTTTTTCTCTACCGGGAGCCCTTGGCAGGCAGCGCAGGACTCGCCCCGAAGGGGAGCGCGGCGCCTGCGAGCCCGGCCGGGCTGCCCCGTGCGGTCCTGAAGCGCCACCCCGTGGCCAGAGTGCCGCAGTGCAGGCGCTCCCGCCTGGCGCTCCGGGCTCCGCTGCTCGGCGTAAGGGAATCCTGCGAACCCCGCTCGACTTAAATTTCTCGGGCATTAAACACGGCGGTGCCCATTCTCGTTACCAATTTCCGTCATTCCCATGCTGTAATTAGGTGTGTTCGGTGCGCTGGATTTGGCAGCAATCGTCCTTTGAGATGCTCCCCGAAGAATTGTTCCTGTCTATGCATGCCGGTGTGTACGTCTGCCCTTGCTGATGCCCTGGATGCTGCTACTTAGAGACTTGCTTCTAATTATGTTGGAAGAAAATAACGATTTTACAACAGATTCACAAGAGCTGTGGTGAGAATTTTTAATGTTCTTTCATTATAGATCTCTCCAGGGAAGTTCAAACAGTAATACATGGACATTCCTGCTGAATGCAGTGTTTCAGACTTATTTCTTAGTAACTGAACTGAGCTTTCTCAGCAGGCAGTTTTGGAAGATAGTCCAGACTGTGTATGCTTACAGAATTTTAAAATCACAGTTGAGGTGATTATGGTTTGGGGAGGCTCAGGCTTACCTGAGCAGTTACTTCGTAGTCTGTCTGAATTGATGCACATATTCACTGTCTATGTTGAAACACAGAATAACTGAACTAATGTGAGTTAATTTATTCCACACAAACACCAGAGACCTGTGTGTGTATGGAAATGAAATGCCAAAATTCAGTGCCAGTGTGAATGAAGGCCTGCTCTGCCCCAGGAAGGCAAATCATAATGGTAAGGTCTGAACACAGAATTAAATGTGCTCCTTGGCTCTGGGGCTGAGCAGAGGGAATGCCCCAGCCTCACCTGGACACAACTGAACTTTGACTGTGGGATGTACTTGCACGTTTAAAGCCATGTGAGAATGGTGAAAAGTAGCCAGGTAGGCTTAATCCAGTTACAGCTGAGAGCTTTCTTACCCCTCTTTTTTACCATTCCCCCATCAATCAATGGATTTAATAGATTAGCTCTTGGAAATAGCCCAAGGGAGGAGAGTGACACAGTCACCTTCTTCCACACCTTCTTACACTGTAGAGTGTCACTTCTGTGTTGTATTAAACAATGCCCAGCTGTTCCATTTATGGTTCTCATTTGTGTTCTCTGGGATGCAGGTGAAGATTCACATGTGGTGATGGATACTGGAAAAATTCCAGCCTGTGCCTCGTACCAAGCCCACAGTGACATGTTTGTGACATGTTTGTGACATGTTTGGGCAGGCAGGAGGACAGTTACCCAGCCTGGCAACGCTGCTGTGTAGCAATGGAGCACATACAGTCCCGTGGCTTTCTTAGATTTTCCTGGAGTACCTTTAAGCCCGTGAGGCAGAACTATTTCACTGCAGACTCTTCATTTTAACAATCAATTGCTGTCTTTATGTTATGCTGATTTTCACAATGTGCTACAGGTGCTGTTTAACAGCGCAGAGGAACGCTAACAAAACTGAAAATGTTATGATAACCTCACAGTGTGACTGGAATTTCTATTATTGATCGTAGTTTTGTTAAATCATTTACTACTGAACAGGCCTTGGTCATGCCTAAGGCTGCCTACTGCAGAGTAATGCCCAGAACTCAGTGCAGTTCTCCATGAGGAGAGTAAAAAGCCAAATGCTCCTGTATTCCAGATCTCGTTGGAAAACACAGTTTCATAATTAACTAAATTGTTGCTTTTAAACTGATTGGCATTGTTTCTGACAGGAAGATTGAACCATGCTACAGCAGTATTTGAGAGAGGAAAAGAATCCCCTCGCTGCTGAGTACAGGGTTGTGGATTGTATTTGGCTTTTTAGTGCCTGAACTGCTAAATTCATTACTCTGTAAAATTAGTCAAGATCCAAGACTGAGTTTTGGAGAAACATTGTACAGTGTAATAGCATAATTATGCCTCTTATCTTTTAGATTAGAATATCCATATATTCCAATTACCCTAATTTACATTCAGAACAAATGTACTTCCTCCTCTGTGCCCAAATTCCTCAGCAATGCTGTCTCTCTTGATTACAGAACTTTTCCAAGGGATGCAATACTAATGAAAATTGTATTCTAAATCAAATATTCATTTGCAAGCAATTTTTCCATTCCAGAACAATCCAGGAATTACATTTAGAATCATTAACGTAATTTAATCCATATGAGCACAATAATTCAGTATTTAGATCTCAAACTGTTAAACAGCTTTTGCTGCCATTGCTGTTTTGCACTTTGGGGAGTGAGTTCCTGCAGGAAGGGAAGATGAGCCTGGAGAGCTTCCCTGGTAAGTGGTGTTAACTACAGGGCAAGAAAAGTTAGAAGGTGGCAGTGGGGTTCTAACAGCTGCTTATCATATAGCTGATCAAAAAATCCCATCTTTGAGGAGTAAATTGGGAATTTTGTGAAAACACTATGAAGGTGGCCAGGGAGAAAGAAATTTAACTCATGAAGGTTATAAAAATGATCTCATCCCCTTTGATAAAGGTACTGGTTATAGTGGATAAGTACTGATTATATCTCAATCAGTACTAATCTCACACATATCTGTTTACAGGAGGATTGACTGCAGATGATGGGTTGAGGAAATGTCCCAGCAGCTGTTAGAAATCCTTCAACTGTACAAAGCTGCCATCTGCCTACAGCATGCTTTATTCATTTCTTTTAAATTGTGGATGCAATAGTCTGGTCAGAGAGAGAAAGCTAGAAAAGCTTTCCATGAATGGGTCTGGGAAACTTTAGGGAGCTGGAGAGAAAGAATTCTAATCAATCTGCACCTGGTATTTGTAACAAGTTGTTTATTCTCAAGGGATGTCATCTTAATTAGCCAATGGTGACAGAATGTTAATTAAAGGACCAATTAGGTCCACCTGTAGCAAACTAGAGTATAGAAAGGAATGGGTTCTTAATAAAGTTAGATAGAACTTTCTGTGAATGCATGGAGAGTGTCACTCATTTATCTGTGTCACTTGTGACTCAACGGTGACATTAAATAGTGCTGTGAATTCTTGTTTGTCTGCAGCTTCTGACTGAGCACAGGTGCAGTGAGAGCCTGCAGAGAACCAACACCAGCCAGCCCTCACTCAGGTGGTGCATAGCAGGTGTGCAGTACCAGCTCCTGGCTGGATGTGGGGCATTTACAGCCCTGCTGTCCCTGTGTCCCTACCGATCACTGCTGCACAGCCCCTGCTTGAGAAGCCCCAGCTTTCAGCTGGAAAATGGTGTTTTTCTGAAGAACAAGCTTCACATTCAGAGTTTCGGTCCAAGAACAGTGGACAATAGATTCTTGGAGCTAATTAGCACTGTTAGAAAAACATTTTTTCTATATTGACCCCCTTACAATACACATAAACTTCCTCTTTCTTGTGTATTGGATTCTTTCATTAGCATTGCACTTTCTGAAGTAATGCAACTGAAAATGAAGTATCTCTCTAGAAAAAATTAAGACTCAAAACACTTCAGTATTTTCAGTGACAGTTTATTTACTCACTTATAAACATTAAAGTATGCAAAGCAGTTAAAATGCTACTGTAACTTGAAATTCTTGAAATGATACTGTAACTTGAAAAGGAGATTTTGTTTGAAGGTGAAGGAAGGCTAAAATTATTAGCAAAGACTACTCAGTGCTGCCAACCAGACTCTTAAACCTAGACCTGAGCAATTTAAACAGAATTAAAACCATGCTAATTACAAAAAACTTACCATGAGGTTCCTTGCAGGGGGTCACAGTTAGTCTTTGGAGGTCCAAGAATACCATTTTAAAGTGTTACTCAGCAGAAGTAGCTGGTAATAGTGCAAGTGCTAAAATGCAAAATTCACAGATGGGACAGTTTGGAGATTATTCTGATTAAGGTGCAGAAAAAAAAATGTAAGCAAATTTTTCAGTGGAATATGAACAAATGTGTGGGATTTCTTTCTCAGCCTGGGTGTTTAGAAACCCTCTTTAAACTAAGCACATTAAGGCACAACTGATTTTTTAATTCTGCAGGTGGAAAACTCAGTCATGCAGTTTTGTTTGCTGTTTAGATGCTCTGCTATTCACAAGCCTCAGTGGGATAGAGTAATGAAGATTCACTTGAAAATCACATAGGTTAAAAACTGTGTAATTATCCATATTCAGACTATTCACAGCTACAGCACAGTATTATGGTGTATAGAAAAATACAGATCCAAGCTTCAGTGGGTTGCAACCCCAAGTACACAACACAATTCCTCAAGCTCATACCACAAGTGGAAATAACCTTCCACTAGTTTCTGCTCTAATGCCTTGCACTTTGTTAAGAAGCTGCCTCCTACGTGACACCTCTGCACCTGTCATAACTCAGTTTATACTTTAGCAGTCTGTGTATATTTACAGTGCTTTACTCATCTGGAAACTCTTTCCTGTGACTAGTTTTAACAGGAGTTAACAGCACTCTTCTGGGCTGGAAGTGTGGCAGGAGCCTGTTTCCCATGAGTGGGCTGATCTAAAAACAAATTAAAAGCATCCATCCCCAAAGAAGATGTGGACAGAAATCCATCATGACAGCAACTCTGTTTCCCCCACCCCACTTCTGAGAAGGACCTTCCACTGCTAAAAGAACAAGTAACGTTCCTTGGCACAGATGAAATCTGGAGGGAGCTGCTTACCAGTCTAGGTGCGGGCACCCCAAGGTGTGGGACCTGGATTTTAGATCTATGTCACTGCACAGTGCAAGGCTACAGTGGCTTAGAGGAGAGTGTCAGGTATCGATACGTGCTGAGCGGTGGCTCCTTTAGAACCTGCTTATCTGAAACAAACCGAGTGACTGCAAAAGGCTTTACAGAAGTTCATCGCAAAAGGGTAAAATTAATTAACTGCTATGAATTCTTTGCATTCAGGGCTGCAAAACAAAGACACATATTACTTAAATCAGTTTTATTTAAGAATTTCCTACAGTGACAAATCTTATAAAAAGCATCCAGACACGAAACTGCAGCAAACAGCATTCTTTTGGATATCTTACAGACAGTGGAACTTCCACCCTGGAGAGGCACACTGAGCTCTAGTGATCTCTGCTAAAAGAACTACTGCAAAGCACACCACAAGCTCAATGTTCTCATCACAAACCCCCATCATCTTCAGGTCACATTACCACACTTACAGATCATTAACAGAAAAAGAACACACACCATACAGCATTCACAGCAGTTGACATAAGGGAAAAGAAATACAAATATTCCATTTCACGTAACACATTCAACTAATTGATTAACTAGGTAGAGAACCCACTTAAAGTCTTCCACATGTGGATGTCCTTTGAATGCAATAAACACTCGTACGTTATCTGCTATCATTGCTCTCCGCACACTCTCTCACCAAAGCCACAGGATTGAGAGACATCTCGCCAAGTCAAATAAAATCCCATTAATGCACCACCAGGTCTCTGCATGCGCTCGCTCCTTTATCTCGCACATACCAGCCCTCTCATGCCTCGGCACCACCACCAATCCCACACATGGTTTCAAAAGTTCAAACAGCCTTCTGGTTCCATCTCACAGCCTTGCGTTCACAGCGTTGATACGACTCCATGAAATAAAGAGTAGCGGATAAAAATGGAACACCCACCGTCTAAGACGCAGCATGTGCGGTGTGATGAAGTATTCTTGGATGAGAAAGCATGTAGACAGAAGTATTCCTAAGGCAGAATATTTACAGCACTGCTTTCAATGAAGTGCTTCTTCCATACACATTTGAAATGAGATGAACTGCGGAGATTAAATGAAGCCTTCATATCGTACTTTAGTATGGAGGGGAGACAGCGTTAAAAAAAAAACAAACGAACACAAACAAAAATGACACTGTGTTGTCCAACGGGGCGCTTGGAGAGTCTTATGGTGGGATCAAATTAAAAACAAGAGGGAGAGAATGCTGTTTCTGACCAATGGTTCCATTTTGAACATGCAAAGAATTCAGGTAGCCGGGAAACAAGGGGTAAAGTATTACAGGAGAAACCTTTCCTATAGACTGTAGTGTTAGTTCACCTATCGGGCAAACAGCAGTCCACTTCCAAACATTCAGAATTCCAACTAGATATGTAACAAAACTTAGAAAATTCCTTTTACCTTTCTTTTCTTTTTCTTTTTTTTCTTTTTTTTTTAGAAAAGAAAAATGTCAAAAATACTGCTGAATATACTGCACACTGAACAAATTCATTTGGAAAACTTTAGCATATACGTAATTTACAGTATACTTACCATGAGTTAGAAAAATTTGATTTCCCACCATAGAGTCAGTATCAGAGCCCACTGCGTCTACATTCCCCAGCCTGATGACTTGGAATCCATGCTTGAACCAAAGCCCCCGTTAAACCCACTGCTGGAGCCTGGGTTGGAGGCTGAGCCCCAGCCTATGGCTGCCCCCGAGTTGGACCCTCCGTACGAGTTGTTGCCTGAACTAAAACCCTGGTTCTGCTCCCGCTGCATGTTGCCCTGAGGCTGGTTGTTTCCCGAGGGCCCTGACTGGTTCTGCTGGCTGGCCAGCATGCCCATCATCCCCCAGCTGCTCTGCAGGGCAGCCTGCGCTGCTGCCATCATGGCAGGGTTGATGCTAAAGGCCCCGAAGTTCATACCCCCGCCCATGTTGCTGCCCTGGTTATTGCCCAGTCCTCCCCCACCTCCTCTACTGTTACCAAATCCCCCCTGATTCCCAAAGCCTCCCGGGTTACCACCAAATCTTCCACCTCTCTCTAACTGTCTACTGCTATTGTGTTTAGGTTCAGCATTGGATATATGTACGCTGATTCCTTTAATGATCAAGTCCTCTCCACAAAGAGACTGGGCAACCTATAAGAAATAAGGGATTGATTAAATGTATGTTAGATGTCCTTTTTTTCAAAAATGTTAGCAGTACAAGACAAAACACAAAACATCCCCTACAATTCTGACCAGATATTTATCCTGCAAAGAAAGCATATGCATGTACTTAATTCAATTTGAAGTGATTTAGCTTTGCATTCATCACTACACTAACTGTAGTACAAAGTCCTGTCTGCACAGAAAGTGTACTCTCAGTCCATTCAATAAATCAGACAGTGGACAAGTAAGCATTTCATTTGTAGTTCCAGAAATGATACTTTATCATGCTACTAAAATGTAGTCTATGAAGTGAAAATATTTTAAGACTTACCTGATCATCTGCAAACGTAACAAAAGCAAAAGCTCGGAAGGGTTTAGGAATGAAGACATCTACCACCTCCCCATACTGGGCAAAGAACTGTCGGAGCTCATCTGCCGTCATGTCCTCGGTGCAGCGTCCAACAAACACCTTCCTGCTGCGCAAAGGCTCATCGGGGCTTTGCTGCAGAGAATTGAAGGTAAAACCCATCACAACTATAGTCCTTGAGAACTGAGTTACAGGAGGGTAAATGACACTCTTAATCTAGCCTGTTCTGAGGGCTGCTGATGGAAGAAAGTTTGAGATTGTAAATTTAAGACTTAAAAGAAATAAATTTTAAAAATTCTATTCCAAGAACATGGCAGCACCTTGGTAAAGGTGGGGGGGAAGAACCACAAGAAAATGAGCATGGGAGCAACACATAGGGATGGTGACAAGGCCACTGCAGAACACTTTTTTGTAATAATTGCATACAGGACAAGAATAGAAGCTATAGGTTCAGTTTGGAACTCAAAGACTTGTTCTGCTCTTCCCCAAATTAGTGATTCCATCTGCTTTATTCTGCATTTATTCATGCAACAGGCAAGTCAGGCAGGTATTGCTGGACATCAAACACAGATTTCTATCTGTATTTCATTCCCTCACATAATGAGTGATTTTCTCAACATTTCAAATTACTTCCAGCTCACCCACCTGCTCCCTGTTTTCCTTCCTTGCTCTCGCTTGTTGTGTTCATTCACAGTAAAGCCACATCCGAGAGCGGACAGTTAATCTGTGCAGCTGCTCTCCCCTGACACAGCTGATGAAGAGGTGCACTTGGAGTGTTTGGTACAAATAAAAGCAGTGGTAAATCCCAAAGTACCTTAGAGTTGGGAAGTTTACAGTCACACCATCTTCCATCGATCATGTGACGCTGAGACATTACTTTCACTTGGGTTTCGTAATCCGTGAACCGAACAAACCCAAAACCTTTAGAGTGGCCTGTTTTAATATCCTTCTTAACCTAGGTGGGGGAAAAAAAAACAAAAACAAAAACCAGAAGTAACCACTAGTACGAAGCATGTTGTTACTGAATGAATTTGGTAAAAATCTGTTTGAGAGTTCACCTGTCTTCCAACCATTCTTATCACAGCAACCTCTAATTCCTTAACATCTTCTCCCAAAATTAACAGGCTCATGGAAAAAAAAAAGACATCCTTAGGAAGAGACACGGGTTCTGATCTTGTCCAAATTTATAAAGCTCCTTTGTTTCTACTGCTTTCTCAGGAGCCTGACATCTACCCAATGTCCCTCCTTACTTGAGCTGCAAATGGATTTTACCTGCACCATCAGAACTTCTCCAAAGGTACTGAAATATTCCTTTAAGTCTTGTTCAGTGGTTTTCCAGGGAAGACCCAAGACTATTAAATCTGAAGTCTTCTGCACTGCTCGTTTCACTTTCACAGCTGATGATGCATCGGTTTCATCCATTTTTCTCTTATTATCTGAATATAAAAAAGTACATTAGACATCCTCAGAGCTGGAAATTGACCCAGTGACTATGAACTGCATGGGGTTAAATTAGAAACCATGATGAGGAAGAGTACAGCAGCTGTTGAGAGCTAAATGAAACACATATCTGACTGTCCTGAACCAAAGCTAGTCCACAATTGAATCCTCCTCCAAAATGCAAACTGACCCAGTTCGTTCTGCATTAGTTTACTTAAGAATTATCCAGCAACATTCACAGTCCTATAAGATTGGGAAAAGTTTCATGTTTTCCCCACTATAAGGTGGGGAAATAATTTCTCCTTTCCTGAACACTTCTAAATGGTACCTCTGACTAAACCATGCCTTGAGGAAAAGTGTCTGTGAGTACAGAGATTACAGTACACTTCAAATAGTACCCTTTGAAGGCCTGTACAAGCCTAGCCTTCAAGGATAGTGCAAGACTTTGTCTTTAAAGTACTTGTTTAGGTAGAATTGTTAAAAAATAAAAAACTCAGTGGGGTCAAACCTACTCGGCAGAACAGACACCTGAATAAATCACTGATCTCTGTGAACTGCAAAGTTAAAGAGTAACATGTTGCCATGTTACTACAGCAGCGACTGGGACCTTAAAGAAAGCAGCCCAGAACGGAGAACCGAAGCCACGAGGACAAACCTTTGGGATAATTCACGACGTAGACGAGGTTTCCCCAGCCGGCCTCGGGGGCGTGCAGGATGCCCTCGACCAGCCGGACTCCTCGCATGCACTGCGACACCGGGTTTCTGTAGCGCAGCCCGCACGCCCCGGGGAACTGCGCTGTCACCGTGGACAACAGCACCGTGCCGTCGTCCTCCGACGGGATTTCGATGGGCTCATCGTTCTCGTCCTCCGTCACCCGGATATACTCCGACATCTTCGCTAGAAGTTACTGAAGTACAAAAGGGAAAGAGAAGGCGTAAGCGATCACCCTATCCCCCCGACCTGGCTTTCATCTTCTTCGGCCTGAGGCACGAATGTCTATTACACAACAGGGGCACCGAAACGCGCTATTCATTAACACTAAAGCCTCCGGGCCTGCTGTAAACCTCGGCCTGTGCTGGAGCTACGGAGGTACCAACAGCGACTTAGTCCCCGAGAACGGCGGAAATTCCCAGGGGCGCCATGGGCTACGTCCGCGGAGCCGGGAGCACAGCCCCCGCCGGCCTCGCCGCCTGCCGGCCCCGCCCGAGCCTGTGACCTCCGGATGCGGCTCCACCCGCCCCAGCATCACCCGGCCCCGCTCACCGGCCAGGGAAGGGAGCAATGTCCCAAGAACTCCTCAGCACCTCCTCCACCGCACTCTACCCGCCGCCGCACAAAATGGCGGCCGCGGCCTCTCAGAGACCGGGCCGGGCCGCGGGCCGAACCATTCCGAGGGGCCAAGGGGGGGAGCGAACTCCGGCGGGGCGCTGGGAACGCGGGAGAGCGTGGAGCCCCGGCCGTGCCCCAGCGGGCGCCGGTCGCTCACAGCCGGAGATCGGCCGGCGTTCTCGGAACCGGCGGCGACGACGGCAGCTCTCAGAGCCGCGCTCCCCCCAAGCGTGGGGCGGTGGTGCGGCCCTGCCCGCGCCTGCGCGAGCGCGGGAGCTGCTGGGAGCCGGCGCCGTCAGGGACCTGTCCGGGCGGGCCGTCGCGGCAGAGCTCCACAGGAGGCAGTGGCTCCCTGGCCGCTCCCGAGTAGCTCGCCCGGAGAAGCCGCTAGCAAAGACATCCTTGTCAAAGCTCTGTGACGCCTCTCTCCCGTTTCCGCTACCAGAAAGAACGAGGCCACCTCATTAAAAAAAAAAAAAAAAAAAAAAAAACAAAAAAAAAAACCCAAAAGCCAAACACCAAAACCCAAACTTGTTCACCTGACGCGTTCAGCATGAAGAAGAATGAGGGGAAACCTCATCACAGCCTACAACTTCCTCGTGAGGGGCAGCGGAGGAGTAGCTCCGATCTCTGCTCTCTGCGACCAGTGACGGGACCTGAGGGAACGGCTGGAGGTGTGTCACGGGAGGTTTAGGCAAATATATCAGAAAAAAGCTGCTTCCCCCAGAGGATGGTCAGGCACTAAACAGGCTCCCAGGGCAGTGGTCACGGTCCCAAGGCTCGAGGAGTGTTTAGATAAGGCTCTCAGGGACAGGGTGGGGTTGCTGGGGTGTGCTGTGCAGGAGTTGGACTGTTTGATACTGTGGGTCCCTTCCCACTCAGAAGATTGTGTGATTTCTAGAAAAAAACAACTACAAAAACCAACCAAATAGAACAAACAAACAAACAAAAAAACCCCTCAGGCAAACAGAAAACAACCAAAAACCCTTGCAATAACTTAAGGGTAAAAACAAACCAATCACATTTCCCACAGACTCTTCTAGCAAGGCCTAAGTAGTGGAGCAGTGTTTCTAGGGAAGATGAGGGGTCTCCACCCCTGGGGAGAACTTTCCTGTGAATCATCTGAAGTGTACCCAGGGCTCTTCCAGTTGCGCAGGAAGAGACTCCACATGCACTTGAAGATCCCTTTTTCACAGAACTGGACAGAAGAGGATGGAAACATTAGAGATGCAATCATCTGTTATCAGCATCACCCTGGAAATGCTGGCATTGAATGTTATGTGTTAAGTTGGAAAAGGACACAAAGCCTGTCACCAACAGAGGCATGGGAGCAATACTGGCTGAGTATTGCTCTCGAACAGCATCATTTTGCACTGGGTAAGAAGAATTGATCCAACATGCCTCTGCAGATCTTATGCAGTTATTCCCTGAGGACCTTGGGAAGAGCTAGATTAAGCAGGCTGACTAGTGCAGAGTTTCATCGTTGCTCATTCTGGATCTCATACTTGTCTGGTCTGACACTGTCCCCAACAACTGATTCATTGCTCAGAATCAATGTCTTCATTAATTCCTCAAAATAAAATAAACAGAAAGAAAATAAAAGAAAAGAAACCAAAAAAGAAACCCCAAAAAAACCGCCCAAAGAATCTCATAAAAATAAAGAGCTATTAGTAAGGACAGACGACTCTACTGCTAGAAAAGGTTAATCCAGTACCTTGCATTAATGGCTTCTGCTGAGAGTATTTAAGACTCCCACTTTATATTTCTTCAAGTGCAAAAATTGGCTCCCAGCACCACTGAAGCTCAGCTCATCCATGCCTTGAGTGTGACTTGAGACTCAGTCTTACCATTTAATTACCATTTTTCAGCAGTTCTGAGAGGACCTGACTAGCCACAGGCTAACAAAAGAAGAAGAAGAAATGTATATTGTGGATCACCCAAAGAAATTTTCTAGTGATCCACAAAATGCATCCCAAAGCCAGTTCTGGTGTTGCCAAGTCAGCATGGAGACAGCCAGTGTCGTTTGAACGTGCTGTGAGGACAGAATGGTAATTGTAGTGTGTCAGCATTATGTGCTGCACCATTTCCACTCAGAGTTTAGCAGTAGCACTCTTGAAGAGGTTGTTGTGGTGCTGAAGCAGAGCAGCCTCCATCTCACACAACATCTGGTGGTAATTTCACTAATGAGCAGAGTAAGCACCAGCCTTGGACTAGATTTTGTGCAAGTAGAAGCTTGACGAGAACGGGGAGCTCTGTGCCGACTGTAAAACAGGGAGGGAAAGAAGGACAATTAGCCATCAGAGACCTCTGCCCCGAAAACATCCTCAGTTTTGGCAACAAACAAGCTTTGGAATCAAGCAAATGTCACAATTCCTTTTCTGTGTGAGTCGGGGTTCTTGTAGCACTTCTGTTATTTTGCATTATGATTAGGTTTAAGTTAAGCAATTAACAGTAGCATTGCTCTTGAAGTAAGTACACCAGCATACCACTGGTTAATTCACCAATTCCCTCACACTGGCAATTCCAAGGGCCCATGGGTGCAGACAAATACAATATGTGGTACTAGCCATCATGTATATTGACTTAAGTGTGCCCAGAGGCACAAAACAAAATGCAATACAATAACTGTTTGCTGCTCTAGGTTAAGTGTGCTCATGGGTACAAGCAAACTCAGTATAATGATCAACTGTTCGCCCTCCCAAAAGCACTTGGGATGAAAAACAACATCAATGGGCACCTAAATATAAGCTCCTGATACAAAACCACCATGCAACTGTGGGTAGTGAAAAATACAAAGTGCCTGGGCCTATTCCTAATTACAGAGCAGTAAAAGACAGGAGAATTTAATGAGTAATTGTGTATTGGTCTAGTCAGATTGATAAGGAGGATGAACAGTTTCTCCATAAGCATCTACCATAATGAGAGCTTTCCATTCACAAGCAAGTTATCGACATAAATGTTTACTCATGCCCAGCAGTCTAAAACTACTAAAGAAAAGTTCCCCTGAAACAAAACAAGTAGCTTTCACCCACATAAAGTACCTGGAAAGATTGCTTAGTCCATGGTACTCACACTCTTCCTAATTCTCTCAGCTAAAACAACACTTAAGGCTTCATTATAGTGCCTGAAATATTTAAGGCAATTTTACCGTGATCCTATGAAATGATGATTCCAGTTATCTCATTTCTAATCCACCTGAGACAGTTTAGTCCTGTTTTGTAAAGAGGAAGAGTTTCTGCATTCCTTTTGGTTCATACCCTTATTTACTTAACTCTTCCAGACTGATTATAACAGGTGATGTGTTTTTTAATCTCTCAGCAAACACATTGAAAATCAGATTTTTTTAAATAACTTTGGCTCTTTTAAAGTTCCACAAGGGCTCAGTGGCTCAGTCTGGGTCCTTTCAGCCCTAGTAGCTATTGGGTGAGGCTTGTTGCAGTCCATGTCACTGGAACAGCCAGGTGTGGTGGTGTCCTGGCTGCTACTCAGCAAACCCAACCCCAGCAAACAGAAGGACTGGCCTGGCTGAGAGCTCTGGTAGGAGCTAGGAATCTTCTGTAGTTACTGGAAATCCAAATGGTGACAAAAAGGCCCCTCTGAGCTCCAAAGCCACTGCTGGCATTGGCCTGCTGGCTCCTACCTTTGTGAGCTGTGAAGAGTTTAGAACAGTGGGGATTATCTGCCATCTCCACCCTCTTGTTTGAGTGGTACCTGTGGGAACTATCAAACATTTGCATCTTGCACAGGGAATGCAAAAATCACTTTGCTCTGTTTTGTTTGGCAGAGTTAGATCAAACCATCTTCAAGTCATCTCCCTTGCCTTTCCAGAGCATCCAGTAGCAGAGCCTGGGAAGAATTTCTCCCTGTGATTCACAGAGGTGTCTAGTGAGTTCCTGGAGCTCAGTTCCCAGTGCTGATATGCCAGGCATCTTCCAACGCAATTTGATTCCTTGTACAGTGTAGTGGAGCTGGGATTCAGAGTCTCTTTTTGGCTAGATTCTATAGTAACTCCTAGCATGGAAAAGCTTGAGCTTCCATCAGCATAAGTTGGCATAAACCAAAGGATAAAACCCACAGACTGGGAACTGGTCCATAAAATAGCATTCACTGGTGTGTGACAGGTTCTAAATACTGAATGAAAACCATTGGAATTTAGAGAGGGGGTTGGAAATAGACTCCTTCAAAAGTCACAAGTGGCTTGGGTAAGGTGTAGCAAGTACTCTGTAACACCTGGAATGGTGTTGGGCAGGATCTGTTCACAAGCTTTGTCTAGTTTTCCTTCAATGTTTTTTATCTTTTTCTGCTTTTCTCTCAAGGACAGGGCAGACAGTCTGAGTAGTTTTTTGCTGGTTTTGAATGATGCACATTGAAGCAAGAGCTGAAGGATAAGACAAAGACTGTTTTTAAAATAGTTAGGCTTTACTGCCTGGTGATATTTTTTTGAAATACATTTACTGAAGATTTATGTAAAATCTATCTTTTGTCTACTTAAAATATCTCAAATGGATGTACAGGTCAAAATTTAATGCGTATGGGTTTTCATTATCTTAAATCATTTGCAATATAAATGATTTATAATGACATCAGACCTTTGTTCTTTGGCTGTCCACCATAAATTGAGGCCCACCCAAATTTCCAGCCTTAGCTGTATTTCTGCATTCCCTGCCCCAGTATCTATAATCTCAGTTCTGCGATTCTTCATGTAAATGACTTTGAACAAGGAAAGGAAGGGAACACATAATTTGCCTTAATACAGGTAATTTTGAAAGAGGAGCAAGACCTTTACATGAGAAATAGTTGACATCCACAGAAGGGGGAGAACTAATGCTTGTAGAAGTGAAAGTCATCCTTGATGAGGGTGGTGAGAGCTACCCATCAACCAGACGTGACCAAATGGACTTTTTGTGTAGTTCAAACTGCCAGAGGTGATCGACTTCTATCTTTCTGAATTTTTTCATGTCTTCTTTTTGCCCTTAAATTTATCATGCAATTAATTAATCCAGTTCTTGCCAGTAATGTTGTAGGTAAGTGCTTGGAAAACTGAAAGTATTGGGATAAGCCAGGCTCCCCATAGTGATTCTGTAAGCCCACAGTGAAAAACCTTAGTGACACCTGACACCCAGAATTGTACTGTCATGACAAACTTGCTCCTAACAACCATAAAAATTTTGAAATGCTCAGA